GGATGGCAGGGTCATCTGATATATTTTTCAATCAAGATAGCCTATTGAAAGTTTAATTCTATTTGGCCCAGTAGATTAAAAGGAGAAGATTTTTGTAAAAGATAACAAAAATTTACGAAAAAATGTTAAAAATTGATTATAAAGGGCAATCACTCCTTAAGGTGTCAATTGACCATTTTGGTCATTTGACTTATTTGTAGATCTTACTTTGCTGAACATTATTGCTGTTTACAGTTTATCTCTATCTATCATAATATTAAAGATAATAACCAAAACTGCAAAATTTCCTTTAAATTACCAATTCAGGGGCAACAACCCAACAACGGGTTGTCTGATTCGTCTGAAAATTTCAGGGCAGATAGATTTTAACCTGAAGAACATTTTTACCCCCATGCCAGATTTGCTCTTTATGCTTTAGTTTCAGAGATATAAGCCAAAAACTGCATTTTCCCCCTATGTTTTATTTTTAGCCATGTCGGCCATGTTGGTTGGCGGGCGGGTCACCGGAGACATTTTTTAAAGTAGATACCCTAATGATGATTGTGGCCAAGTTTGGGTAAATTTGGCCCAGTAGTTTCAGAGGAGAAGATTTTTGTAAAAGTTAACAGAAAACGGACGCCTAGTGATGAGAAAAGCTCAATGGGCCAGGTGAGCTAAAAAGAAGATTGGGGTAATATCAATCAGACTTAAAACCAAAATAGACTTTCTGCTTTGTATTGATCTGATGAGTTAAGCCTTTTCAACTGATTTTTATAGTTTGTTCTTATGTTGTACTGTTACACCACTGTCCCAAGTGTCCCAGGCTAGGGGGAGGATTTGGTGCCAACAAACTAATTTAACCCCGCCACATTCTGTATGTGCCTGTCCCAAGTCAGGAGCCTGAAATTCAGTGGTTGTCCTTTGATGCTGTATATCATATTTGTTTTTCGTTCATTGATTTGATTGATTTTTGGTGTTTTAACGCCACTTTTAAGCACCGCTTTTGGGCTATTTCGTGGCGGCCAGTTTTTATTAGTGGAGGAAGCTGGAGTGCCCGGAGAAAACCACGACCTTCGATAGGAAAACTGACAATCCTAGTCAATTAAGATTGGAGTCGAGTGCACCGGCACGAGCGGGGTTCGAACTCACAACCTCAGTGATGACTGGCTAGTGATTATAGTAGTAGAACTACTTAGACCATTCGGCCACCGAGGCCCCGTTTTTCGTTCATTGTTTTGTACATAAATCAGGCCATTAGTTTTCTCATTTTTAATTGTTTTACATTTGTCATTTTGGAGCCTTTTATAGCTGACTTTGCAGTATGGGTTTCATTCTTTGTTGAAGGCCATACTGTGAATTATAGTTGTAAACTTCTATGTCATTTGGTCTCTGGTGGAGAGTTGTCTCATTGGCAATCATACCACATCTTCTTATTTTTATATTCTAGAGATCAACATATAAATAAAAGGAGATGTTTGGTATACATCAATGAGACACCAACCCAACAACAAGAGTAACCAAAAGACATCTAGAGGACAGCACACTGCCTTCAACAATACAGGTTTTATATACAATATGTCAAGCTCTAAATCGTCTCAATTTTATATCAGTTTTCAATAAATTAATCTGAAAACAAGAGTGCACACGCTGAAATGTCTTGCCTTCTTTACTAACCATTGATTTTATGTTGATAGTCCTAAATATAAAGCTTTACTACAGGTAACACATTAACTTAACATGATCCAAGAAAATGAGGTCAAGGTCAGATAAACCAAATGAGAAATACATGTACACCTTACAATCATTCAATAAACCAAACTAAGTTGACCTATTGCTTATAGTTTCTAAGAAACAGTCTTAACCAAGAAAACTTAACATTGACCAATGAACCATGAAAATGAGGTCAAGGTCAGATGAACCATGCCAGACAGACATGTACACCTTACAATCAATTTATGCATTAAACATAGTTGACCTATTGCTTATAGTATCTAAGAAACAAACTTAACCATGGAAACTTAACATTGACCAATGAACCATGAAAATGAGGTCAAGGTCAGATGATACCTGCCAGACAGACATATTCACCTTACAATCCTTCCATACAACAAATATAGTTGATCTATTGCTTATAGTTAAAGAAAAACAGACCAAAACACAAAAACTTAACACTGAGAAATGAACCGTGAAAATGATGTCAAGGTCAAATAAAACCTGCGAGACTGACATGTACATCATAAAATATTTCCATACACCAAATATAGTTGACCTATTGCATATAGTATTAGAAAAAAAGACCAAAACTCAAAAACTTAACTTTGACCACTGAACCATGAAAATGAGGTCAAGGTCAGATGTTCCAGTTGGACATGTACACCTTACAATCATTCCATATACCAAATATAGTAGACCTACTGCTTATAGTATCTGATATATGGACTTGACCACGAAAGCTTAACCTTGTTCACTGATCCATAAAATGAGGTCAAGGTCAAATGAAAATTGTCTGACGGGCATGAGGACCTTGCAAGGTAGGCACATACTAAATATAGTTATCCTATCACTCATAATAAGAAAGAAATTAACATTATAAAAAATGTTGACTTTTTTTTCAAGTAGTCACTGAACCATGAAAATGAGGTCAAGGACAATGGACATATGACAGACAAAAACTTCGTAAAATAAGGCATCTATATACAAAGTATGAAGCATCCAGGTCTTCTAGCTTCTAAAATATAAAGCTTCTAAGAAGTTAGCTAACGCCGCCGCCGCCACCAGATCACTATCCCTATGTCGAGCTTTCTGCAACTTTTGTCGCAGGCTTGACAAAAAATCATTGATCTATCATCAACAGTATGGCTTTTAACAATTGACAAACAATGCCACTTTATTACAAATGGTCTAGACATGTTGTGAATATATTAACAACCTAATATCCAAAAACAAACTACAAATTCTAACAGCAACTTCTTCTTAATATTCCTCTGCAATATTTCACAAAACTTTTCAATAGCTGGTGTAACCCAATTTTTAGCAGTGCCAAAAACATTTAAAAATCAATTCAATAAATTAGAACATTTCTTGGAAATAGTTAAACAAATATACATTTTAAGAGAAACTTGAAACTACTAGCTTGCATGACATAGTCTTATACAAAGTTAAAACCATTATTAGAACTTAAGTTTTTACAGCTTAACTTTTCAAGAGTACATAGTGTATAAAATTTAAGATTGCTATTTTATTAGTTTGTTAATACCTATCAAAAAGTACTTCGTTGATAGGTGGTTCACATATTCCCCATGAAATCCTGAAGATTGATATCCTAAGAATAATAATGAAAATATAGTAATGCATTTGTAATGGGAAATGAAAAGAACATACTTTGTTTTCTAGTAGAGATTTTTTCTAGAAGATGAGAGATAACTCAAATTAGAATAAACAGCTGTGCCATGAGCGCATGATACGCCCGTCGTCTTGTGTGTGAATTTTTATTCAATAAGTATAAATAGTTTCTGACATACGGCGTGACATTCGAAAACCCCCCCTTTTTTTTTTACAAAAAACTCAATATCTCTAAAATAAAATTTTGAATCAAACCAAAAAGTATACAGATCTTTAGATTAGTATAACTAAGAAGTGTGTAAAATTTTAAGCAATAATCATAAATCATTTTTGAGATACGACGCGACATGTGAAAACCCCCCTTTTTAAAAAAAAAATCAATATCTCAAAAATAAAATTTTGAATCAAAACCAAAAAGTATACAGATCTTAAGATTAATATAACTAAGAAGTGTGTAAAATTTTAAGCAATAATCATAAATCGTTTTTGAGATACGGTGCGACATATGAAAAACCCCTCCCCCTTTTTTTACAAAATACTCAATAACTCAAAAATAAAATTTTGAATCATCACCAAAAAGTATACAGATCTTAAGGTTAATATAACTAAGAAGTGTGTAAAGTTTTAAGCAATAATCATAAGCTGTTTTTGAGATACGGCGCGACATTTGAAAAACCCCTCCCCCTTTTTTAACAAAATACTCAATATCTCTAAAATAAAATTTTGAATCATTACCAAAAAGTATACAGATCTTAAGATTAATATAACTTAAAAGTGTGTAAAGTTTTAAGCAATAATCATAAATTGTTTTTGAGATACGGTGCGACATGTGAAAAAAAACACACACCTGTTTTAGTTACTAAGTCCCGTAACTCAAAAAGTTTTAATCTTATTTTCACCAAAAAGTATACAGATCGTTTGACCATCATAAGAAACAACTATGTTAAGTTTCATGAAATTTGGATAAGTCATTCTCAAGTTACGGTGCGACATGTTTACGCCGGACAGACAGACGGACAGACAGACTGACAGACAGACGGACGGACAAAGGACATTTGTATACCATAATACGTCCTGTCAAAAATTGACGGGCGTATAAAAATGTTCCATCATCCTTTACAAATGCATAAGTATGTCCAATACTTGAGTTATAAATAACTTATGTCACTTATCCAGAAGATTCTATTAGATAGTAAACAAAATAATAATATTGATATCATAGTCGATCCAGCAAACAATCAAGGTAAACTTCATTTATCTTTGTAGACGTTAAATAAGAAACACTGTAAGGATTATAGTAGAACAAGTATTATATCAGACTGAGTTAGGGACTAAAGTGTTAACCAGTTTGGTATTAAGAATCAAAGTGGGGAAAAACAGCAATAGTTGACTTTCTGCATATTTTCCAATAACAAAATGTAGTTAGTTCTTGAAAATTGAAAAAGTGGAGTTAAAACATTCATATTATGTTCTTCAAAGAACAACTTCGTATATTCTTTTGTACTAATATGCTTAAATGATTTTATGACAATGTTGTCAATTTAAGCATAAAAATGAAGAAGTGGACTGGTTGATGACATGAAACTAGTTATTCCCGAGAATGATGCTGTTACTAGATTTTCTGAGGGGGATCCAATGTCGATGTTTTGTTACAAAATAAAATAATACATTTTTCTCACCTGATCATTGCAGTTTTTCTACATATCATATCAGATCCTCTGTAATAATTCACCAACTGAAAAAGTCCAGGTTCATGACCTAAAAAATAGATAAATGGGGAATGTGTCCATGGGACATAGATGATGCCCCTGCTTGCATATAATGTTATAAAGGGACATAACTCAAGAACGATAAAAGTGACGCTACCCAAATTCGTACTTGATCTGAGTTTTGTGGTAATAAGCATTGTGTATAAGTTTCATAACATTTGTTTGAGGCAATTTTTCCATTTGTAAAGGGGCATAACTCAAGAACAGTAAAAGTGACGCCACCAAATTTCAAACTTGATCTGAGTTTTGTGGTAATAAGCATTGTGTATGAGTTTCATAACATTTGGTTGAAGCAAACTTTAGTTAGAGAACGGAAAACGAAAAATTCAGCAATTTTTCCATTTGCAAAGGGCATAACTCAAGAACGGTAAAAGTGACGCCACCAAAATTCAAAATTGATCTGAGTTTTGTGGTAATAAGCATTGTATATAAGTTTCATAACATTTGCTTGAGGCTAACTAAAGTTAGAGAACGGAAACCAATTTCAGGACATATGGATGGACAGACGGACGGACAGATGGACAAGGGTAAAACTTATTGCCCCTCCGCAACGGCGTGGGGTATGAAAATCAGTATAACTACCAAATTAGTCCACAAGTTACTTTGTTTCTGTTTCCAATGTTTTTCAAGTAATTAGTTTTGAACTTTTCTTGCACTACTTTTTAAAAGGCAATCAATGACTGAGAACACTTAAAACATACATTGATTAAATTTTGATAACAGGCAAGTTGACAAATGATAAACTGCATAAGGATGAAAGACAGCCTCATAAGTTGTCAACTTATAATAGTAAGTTTGATACATTTGGTTTTTCTTCATTTATAAATGGAATGCTTTTTCATCCTTATGATGTTAGAAAGAAGGCGGAGCATAAAAATAATGAAATATTGTCAAACTCTTTCTTAGGTCAATTGCAGCATGCAAAAAATATCTCGTCGCCTATTATATCAATATGATAACTTTAAAATTTCCTCATCAGACCTTAAAAAAGACCAGTATGAATACATTACATGCAGGTTCAGTATAAAAAAAAGCATATTTACACTATGGAATGTATGAATACATGGACTGGAAAATGTTCTTTATTATTGTTCTCATACAGTTTCAAAAATATCTTGTCAAACCATATATATGTAGGCCAATTGTCTTGCAACTGGTCAGTTCAAATCAAATCAAGTTTTTATATAGAGCAATTGAATTAATTGTTAGTTATCGATATCATATATGCATGGGACTTATAAGTTATGTCAGATATATCGTAATTTCTTCTGAATAATTTGGTCAACACCTGATATTTTATAAAACAGGTCAATAAAATTAAAATACATATAGAACAATGGCATTTTTGTTTTTGATACTGACTTTTTCAGCAAGAATAACAAGTGAGCACATCTGTATAAAAAAATAAAATGCCAGGATTCTTTTTATCGACAAGTTTGTCTTAACAAAATGTTTTTTGGCTGAGAATATGAAATAAAATGAAGTAGTAAGTAAAACTATTTTTATGTGTACAAAACATTGTGATTATGGTTCGGTTGTATGAATGAAGTCACAATCATTTCATTGATAAATTAGTTTAAACAATATTTATTCAGATAAGTCATCACAGTCATAACGATATAATACAATTGAAATAAATATTTAGGATACAAAAAAAAGCAAATTTGGTTTTACAAATCTGTCTCCTAAATTGATAAATTGACGAGGATGGACATGAATATGTGATGTTGCTGTAGTTACATGACGTCATTGTCTAATATTTTCGAGTATCAGGTCCTGTCCATGATATAGAAAAATATTGGGCAGTAAGATCAAAGGCTATCAAAAGGTAAAAGTACATATTGTGGATGAAATTTATAACCTGCAATGAATATGTTTATCTTTTTCTTTTTTATTATCTTGAAAATTAACCTTAATAATTTTAGAATGTTTCAGAAAAACTAACTGTTAGGAACTTGTAGTGAGGTGTGAGCTTTTGTTCTGTGTTAAAGGTTACACTGTGACTTTGAGATGAAGAACAGCAATAAAAACAGTTTTTGCTTTTGGTTTTCTCAAGTGCCTAGATGGATTTTGGTCCTGAATTAACAAATACAAATTGAAAATATAGAATTACATGTCAAAAAGTACCAACCTAATCTTCCAAATGGCAATTTATTTCTTTCTCCAAACATCAGATTAAAAGATGCTGAGTTAGCTGGCATTTTCCTCCAATCCTCACCACAATTCTCTACCAGAAAATTGGAGACTGCTTTATAGACACTGCTTCTAACATCACGATTCACAAAACCATACATTCTAAAATAATAAAAAGTTGACTCAGTTGAATTCTGTTTCATATTCTTTTTGTCTACTGTGACATTCTGAAATAATAATAAGTTGACTCAGTTAAATTCTAGAATTTTCTAGTGTTTTGATATTGTCTCAGATGCATGCGCATCCTACATACATGCAAATTTGCATATCAGGATCTAACAATATATTAAGTTGGACGAGGTAAGAGCTGGATAGGCCACGATTTTCTAAGCTCATAGTGACGTTTCTTGGAAAACTCTATGGACTGAAGTATTGTACCAACATGCACATCTGTGTATCAGGATCTAACAATATACACCAAGTTTCCTGTAGATGCAATAAAACATGTAGGAGGAGTTGCTATGACAAAGTAGGTGTTGGACAAGGTCAAAATTTCTAAGGTGAAGGCGCATAACAAAAAAAAAAAAACTCAATGGACGGGAACATCACACCCACATGCACATCTTCATATTAGGATCTAACTTTGTAATAAGTTTCTTGTAGATATGATACATGTAGGAGGAGATGCTACGACAAAGTCAGTTCTGCTAAAATTCCTACATTGAGAGGGGCATAACTAACAAAAACCCAATGGACCAGAACAACTTACCCAAATGCACATCTGCATATTAGGATCCAACATGAATTAACTGCTAGCTTACTAGTAACTTGGTGTTCTCTTTGTTGTCATTTTCTGTTTAAAACTTGTATAAAGTTGAATAGATACTTACCTGATAGAATTGTTCTATCCCTTTTCTAAAACTGAACCATACATTATGTACTTTCCATTTTTCAACTGTAGATGAAGTAAACAATGTTGTAGTAAGTCATCTATCCTACAATGATTTAAGACAGAAACCTTATGCCTATGTGATGAGTAAAATACACATTAATGATTTTAAACATTTAAAATACAATGTTTAATTTTGAACTGTTGAAGTGACAAATTAAAGGCCAAAACTGAACCAAAATCATGTATCTGACTAATAGTCACAAAGCCATTGATGTTCTAACCATTGTAAAGGGTCTAAAACAGATGGAGATTTTTTATTGTCAGCTTGTGATTTGTAAAAATTTTTAGTCTTTCTAAAAGCATATTGCTAATAACTGTATACCAACCTCCCCTCACAATCGCAACATTCAACATGTGACTGTTACAGTCAATAAAACAAATTTTCAGCTTTGTGTTTCAACAAAATGTGGAAATGAACAATTGGATTAAATAATAGCTTAGTTTCTCATCAGATGTACTCAAATGAAAATTTATTTATGGACTTATGATTATGAAGTATTAAACTTGTAGATTCAGAGATGAAATTACAAATGTATACGGATGATGTCTATGTCACAGGGCCTTGTACATGTTGTAACTACATGACAGATATCTGCAATCACCGCTAAATATGAGGTTGTTGTGACTAAAAATCTTTTTAGTCCAGAGTAGAACAGTCTCCAAGGAAATCCATCCCTTGTAGTTCCAGACCCAAATCCATGCAGCCCAAAAATTTTATTACACCAATCATTAGATCATATGGACTTTTGCTGATGTTTAAGAAACTCCAAATATTTATATTTTCCTCATATGGTTTTCTTCATATCACAAAGAAAACTATTAAATTTTATCATTTAAACTAAAACTTTATTTGAAAATAAACAGAATTGGTTTTCACCAGGCCTAATATTTGAAGGAATAAATCAGATTTACAAATTATTCAGATTATATCAAATGATTTTCTTTTTCTCTAAGGTGATGTTATTTTCAACATGCTTCAACAAGGGGTACTACTTAAACAAGTGATTTCAGAATCACTCCCTCCAGTGATTTTGGCTGTGAAATATTAAAAATGTTCACACAGACTTTTTAAAATCACTGAAATTAGCACATACTTACAACTTCTCGTCCAATCAAATTGCTTATATTTGCCTTCTAATTTTCATAGTACATACTTTTCCTGTGTACTAAGTAACTACGCATGAATGATCACAAGGGTAAGATTTCATTGTATCGTAATCAAGATATTTAAAACAAAATTTTCCACTGGCTATTTTGAAATAAAATGCTGTGTTCCAAATTAAATTAAATAGTTTGTAATTAGTTTTCACTTTGATTTTTAAATATCCTGCTATTAAAATCTTTGGATCTAAAAAATGTTTTTGACAATTGCAAATTTTATCATTTAAATAAAGGGTAATACATATGGTTCTTTATACCTTGATTAGAGTACAACGATATCATAAAATTATGATAATGTATCATCCATGCAATTACTTTGTACACAGAAAAGTGTGTACTATGAAACCTTGTGAAGGAAAATTAAAGCAACTTGGTGATAATTTTTTAAACTTTCTTAAGGAAGGTGATCTATTTCGTAATGAATTGATTGATTTATTGATTATTGGTTGCTTAATGTCCAGTGGCAAATATTTCATACATGTTTAGGACGATGTCATGAATTGAAAAACTGTGATTATGTCTGAAGATAATGTGCCACCTATATATATATATATATATAAACATATTCTGGTAAATCTTTTAGTTTTTACTTTGAAATAATAAAAAAAAACCAACAAAAAACACAAAACCTATAATCTCTGATCTATTGGTAGTTGCTTTTTAATGCCTATCTGCTAGACTATATCTATGGGGACAAACTATCTATATGTTTCAAATTTATTATAGCTTTAGTTTTACTGTGAAATTAAAAAATGTTTTCAAAACATGTAAAGCTTCCACTGCAATTTAATTATTGCCTGCTTTTGGTCAATTTATTTGGTCATCTTACCATGTAAGAAGAACATGTATATAGTAAAACACCGCTTTATATCAGTATACATACTTACACCGGCAGCTACCATCTTTTCATTCTGGAGTGAAGGGCCTTTTGAAATCACATATTTTACAATGATACTAGTGAGTAGATTTACAAAACTTCGTTAATGAGCTCCGTTTTACAAACACCTGTGATACAAGTAGTCAGCCAAAATAAACTATCAATAGACCAATTAAAAGATTACTTGAGTTGTAAATATGTGCTAAATTGGATATTCTATGGAAAGGTATATACTATGAAATTAAGAGCTCGGGGCAAGCCCCTCGCTCTAAATTTCATAGTATATACCTTTCCATAGACTAACCTAGACCAAGTAATTTTAGAAGTTAAAATGTAATCACTTTAATAAGTGTTTATAACATTTTCTTGATATTTTTCCCACAAGCTTGATTTTTTTATTGGTAAAAAGACAACAATTCCATTGAAAAAACAAATATGAATATGCAGAAATTGTCTTTTGCTTGATAAGCCTGACACTTTTACAGTTTTTTTAAAATATGCAAAAACTGGAATAGTTTGTAGATCAGGTCATAACCTTGAAGTAGATCATTCTAACTCTAAAGAAAACCAATCAGGTTACCTAATATTGTTGATCTTTGTCTGATAGTAAGAGTAGTTAATGAATTTTTGATTACAGAAAAATTCACAAGGGTACTTTTAAAAGCTTTAGCGCACTAACTTACTGCCCAAGCGCACTGGTGAAATTAATATACAAAGAAAAAGGGATAATTGATTTATGTAGGAAAATTATAGAAAAGATTGATAAAATATGGAAAATTTATGAAATTAGCATTTGAAGATCAAAGAAAACACTAAAATCACTTAAATAGGTGATAACTGAATTTATCAAATCACTGAAATAAGTGATGATGAAATCACTTGTTTAAGTAGCACCCCTGACTGCTGACTGTTCAAGAGAAACCTTTTGACTCTATGGAAATATCAATGTTTTTATTAAGATGATTAATTTCATTCTGCTTGACTTGTTTGAGTGACGATTGTTTTCTCTTTTCATAAGCTCCATGTATAGAAGAAGGTTGAGGAAAAAGGGAGCATAAATGGTACATGTAGAAAAGTTGATTTGGGTCATTACACTAACAGACTGAAATAATTTCAATAACATGCGGTCAATAAAACCCTTTCCATTATTTCATTTTTTTTAAAACAATTTTAAAATAAAACATGCATGCACAATAATATTCAGGCGCTAACAAGGTAGAACCTGCCTCATATTATTTTGGGAGTATATTATATAAAAAAAAAGTTTTTATTTAGATAGTTTGTTAAAATTTGACCAATACCATCACTAAATTTTTTTTTTTCTGTTCCCAAAATACATGGATAATGAAAAGTGTTCTTCGTGAGGTTAGTTTTTGTTCAAGGCACAAACATATTTCCATTATTTGATCCAGAGACATATATAGTATCCGAGATATGCAAGTAGTAAATCTTGCCAATATAACGTGTGTAAATTGTTCCCAGCATTCCCTAACAAGATTACTTAAGACTGGATGGTTGCAGAGAGTCAGAGACAAAGTTAACAATCTATTGGAATGGAACATCTTGTACATTTTGCTTATTCTTGATGAAAATTGTACAAAACATATTCTAAAGAATAGCATGAATAGTAAAATTCAACTTCATTTTGTATATTCTCAGGTTATTATTTATGATAATGTCTAAATATTTATTGATCTGTTGATCGGAAGGTCCCATGATGATTAGGTGCATATATATGTAAGTTATTGATGTGTTGATTAGAGGATCCAATGAATAATTAGAACTTATATAACAAGTGGTTGTTCTTATAAAAATTGATTGTTTATTGGCAAAGATGTCAACAGGGATGGTCTAACCTGCTGCTTTGAGGTTTACTTTGTAAAATAATTTATAATGTATGTTTCCTATGAAGGTAAATCCAGAAAAGTGCTTAGGATGAATGAAATTTATAAAAAGTTGTCTTCTTTTTTAAAAGTATATTTTACAATTTACCTCTACATGTATTCTCCTAACAACGCCATCAAATCCCATCTTTAAAAAAGTCCTGATTTGATCATCAGAAAAAGGACAACCAGCACAGACATGACAGACAAGCATGCATTATAAAATAATTTTACAAAAGTAACTTAAAAGGAGCAGGTAATACCTGTGTTGATATCTTTGACAATAAACAGTTATTTTTTTTATAAAACAACCACTTACCAAGTACACCAATAGTTTAATTTATTTATTCATTAATCATGTTAATGGATAATATTAGATAAGTTTTAAAAGGGGTTAGCTTCATCAAAAAAATAAAAAATATATATGTAGCATTCTAAAAATTTATTTATACAGAATAACAAACAAACCTACCATGATTTGATTTGATTTTTTGTGTTTTATCGCCACTTTTAAGCACCGCTTTTGGGCTATTTTGTGGCGGCCAGTTTTTATTGGTGCAGGAAGCCGGAGTGCCCGGAGAAAACCACCGACCTTCGATAGGAAAACTGACAATCCTAGTCAATTAAGATTGGAGTCGAGTGCACCCGCACCAGAGGGGTTCGAACTCACAACCTCAGTGTTGATTGGCTAGTGGTTACAGTAGTAACTACTTAAACCACTCGGCCACCGAGGCCCCCTACCTACCATGAAGTTTTTAAAAAATTTACCAAAAAAGTGAGAAATTTTTTTTTTTTTTGCTGCAATACATGCTCTGAATTTGGACTGTGATTAAATATTTGACATAGCATAGGTTTCTAACACAGAATGAATGTGGTTTAAGAACTTAAAGTTGAAATTGGACATTTACCTATTATGGTCCAATATCCAAAATCTAAATAAATAAAATTGAGAATGGAAATGGGGAATGTGTCAAAGAGACAACAACCCGACCAAAGCAGAAAACAGCCGAAGGCCACCAATGGGTCTTCAACACAGGGAGAACATCCCGCACCAGGAGGCAAGCTTCAGTTGGCCCCTAAACAAAAATGTGTACTAGTTCAGTGAAAATGGACGTCACACTAAACTCCAAAATATATAAATGAACTAAAATTAAAAAACTTACAAGATTAAGAAAGGCCAGAGGCTCCTGACTTGGAACAGGTGTAAAATGCGGCGGGGTTAAACATGTTTTGTGAGATCTCAACCCCCCCTTTACCTCTAGCCAATGTAGAATAAACAAACACACAGCAATATGCACTGTAAAACTCAGTTTAAAAGAAGTCAGATTCCGATGTCAGAATAGCTAACAAAAGAAACTAAGCAAAATGACAATGATACATAAATTAACAAAGGACTACTAGCAGTTACTGACATGCCAGCTCCAGACCTCAATTAAACTGATTGAAAGATTATGTATTCATCATATGAAAATCAAGCACAATCCCTCCCGTTAGGGGTTTAGTATCATACCATCATAAAATATATGAGAAGAACATAACCTGTATGTATACCTGGTTTTAGTATAAATGTGTTTATTTCTGATGCAAAAACCCTATGAGTGAATCAATATTTATACCAAAATATGCCATCTTTAATGACCTGACAACAGTATCGTAATTATATCCCTTTTGAATAAGTCTGTTAAAGGTTTGGTTAGCTTTTGAGGTGAATGCCAACATGGTTAGATTCAGCATATCAAAGAACCCCAAGAATTCAATTTTTGATGAAATCAAACAAAGTTAAATTATTTACCCTTTGGACCTCAATTTGGACCAATTTAAAAATGGAGCCCAATATCAAATATCTAAATACACAGCTAGATTCAGCATATCAAAGAACCCCAAGAATTCAATTTTTGTTGAAATCAAACAAAGTTTAATTTTTGACCCTTTGGACCTCAATGTGGATCAATTTAAAAATGGGGCACAAAATCCAAAATCTAAATACACGGGCTGATTCAACATATTAAAGAATCCAAGAATTCAGGTATTAGAAAAGTATTGTTTTTGGCCCTTTTTTCTTAAACAGTGAGATCCATAACCCCCAAAATCAATCCCAACCTTCTTTTTTTGGTATTGAACCTTGTGGTACAATTTCATAATGATCCATTCACTTATACTCAAGTTATTTTCTGGAAACCAAATGTCTTCAGACGACAACAACAATGTCATGCAATAATACAACCGCAAAAAATTTGCAATTGCATAAAAATTTGCTGGGTATTAATTTTTTGCAATCGGGTAAAGGACTATATGTTGTTCAGCCCTTTTTGAAGCCAATGTTGAGAGTATCTCGATCAAAACACAGGGGCTGGTATCATAGATGTTTTTGGGGCATCCCCTATGAACACAATGTATCCCTTTTGCATTCATATCTGCTTAACAGAAAACAACAAATGAAAGTCAATGGTGTTCTGTCAGAGTAGTTGGGCTGACATCCAGAAAGGTGTACCTCAAGGTGCAATTTTAGGCACTCTGTTATTTAATGCTTTCATAAACGATATTTTTGATAATATATAGACATTACTGTAACAAAGGCTAGTGTGATGCTTGCCATCACATTTCCTACATCTAAAACGTGAGCGGCATTCTGCAACTTTGTGATTTCTAAAGCAATTGTAGCATACATTTTCTGCTTCATAATGGCAAAGCGTCTCTCTCTGTCTAGGTAAGAATGCGATTGTCTGCAGTAAATACAAGTTTTGGGTTTGAACTGGTTTGTTACGAACTAAGTTCTTGTAATGCTTTTGGGTTCAGCTGCTGTGTAAAATGATGCAACTGGAGTAAAACTGTCTGATTTATTTGTATAACCAGTTTCATGTACGTACATCTCTTTACCGATTGCTTCTCTCAGGAACCTAATAGTATCCCAGTTGCGTTTTCAGTGTTCTCTGGTCATCAGCTTTTTCATTTCGTCTGGCAATTTTCCAAATATGATTGGTACCAAAAGTGATCCGAATGTGTCTTGTGACTGTCTGAGTGACTCTAATCCCTGTATGCACGTTTCCATTTTATCATAAAATGCTCTGATGCTATGCAGAGTAAGTGACGGGTGCGTAAGTTCAAGTAGATTCTGCATGTATGCGTTTATAATTGTTTGTGTCTGTCCATAACCCTCCTTTATTAATATAATTGCGTGGTCATAGTTGGTGCTTAATAGAGATAAACCTGATATGCATTGTGTGGCTTCATGGTGTATCAGAGATTTAAGGTAGATGAACTTTTGCATATTTTTCAAAGAGGGATTGTAAAGAAATGGTTGTCTAAAACCACTCCTGGAATGTCTGCCATGTTTATATATCTCCCATAATGTTCAGTAGATCCAGTTTTAGTGATCTATGATTAAAGTTTGTTGTTGTTGGGTTTGCATTAGTATTAAAGGAGATATTTTCCACTGTCAATATATTATCGGTATGGTTTTAGTGAATTGCAGTACTTGTTGACGGAAAATTTGATGTATGTGCTATGGGAACATAAGAATTTTGATTCAATCATCATAGGCTGAAATGTGTTTTGTTTTGTTTCCAGAAACTATGTCCCTGTATCGGCAATGGCGACTTCCATATTCAAATTATTATAGTCTGCGTCAAGAATTTCTTGTTACATATCGTCAACTTCAATAAGGTCCAATATTTTGCTGTCAATCTCCTGAAGAGTGTCTCGCTTCTTCTCAAGGGTCTCCAATGCTGCATGTAATTCTTTGGTACTGATGTCATTTTGCGTGATTTTGTCTTCGGTCCTGTTAATTAGTCTGGATACTGAACTTATGTGTCCACCTCGTTTGGCTCTGTATTTCTCAATTAGTCACAGCACCAATATCGTGAAGGTTGTGGCTAGTACTTTGCTTTGAATTGATAAGGCTTGTGTTTCATACAAATTGTATGCATGTAATGACTAGATACGCACAAGGCAAAGTTATGTGTACAGAGACGTTACGTAAACAATAGGTAATGTTAGTTACATAGTAAATAAATAGCGGCAAATCCTTGACAATGTGTATGTAATGCATGTTGTTATTATTGTTTTTATGTTGTCTATATGATTTAATATTCAGTCAAAAGCTCTTTCGAGCGTGTGTTGTAGTTTTAAAAATGCTAAATCAAAATAAAATTTTCTTATCTTATCTTATGAAGAACGCATACCAGACGAATGGCATATATTTCCATCCAAAAACATCTATGATGTGATGGCCTTAGTACACTTTAACTGTAGTTTAAATTTTGCAAAATCCAGTATTCAAGTCACAAGCATTTGTTTCTGTCAATGGGGGTTTACTGTCCACACTTGTACGAAAAATCACGATTTTAGTGTGGATAGTAAAACCCCCCATTGGCATTGACAGAAACAAATGCCTGCGATTCAATTAATAATTTTTATAGACTTCGTCCTCTTTCACAGACAACACCTGCCTAATATTAACATTAAGTCGGGTTGGTAACTGAAGTAAACAAACCCATTGACCTCTTCACCTAGTCACTAAAGTTAAAGGGTTAACTTTTATTTCTACTTTCATTTTCCAATAGTTCTTTTGTAATAGAGACTCGTTAAGTGTAATCTTTTAATCTTTATCGCAGCAACGTTTTTTCAAGGAGAATTATGTTTTAAAAAAGTAGCTGACGTTTGACTTTGAGTTTGAAAATAGTGTAGGTCTCGTTCGTAGGGTTTTATTTCGTGCTCATGGATGAATTTTCATTTTCAAAGAGAAAAAAGGGAAAACCAAATCGAGGTGGAGGTCGATTTAATCGAGGACGAGGAAGAGGAAAGTCTAGTCGTGATGAACATCGCCACGAAAAACGTCAAAATGAACCCGACAGCAAAAGAAAAGACCACACGGCTGGTGGTAGAGGCCATTCGTCTGGTGGTAGAGGCCACACGGCTGGTGCAGGAGGAAACCGAAGTTATGGAAGTAGCAAAATTTCCGGGTAATTAATGTCTCTAGTTTGATATATTAAATCATTTCTTAATCCATAGTTAATTGAAAAGAAAATTAACAACATTCCAACATGCTTTCGAGACGTTTCGGCCACACAACCATTTTGGCAATGCTACCAGTTAGGCCATAGTGGTTTTTGCCACAGTTATTTCGGCCACACTTTTTTTCATATTGCTCTTTACATAAATTATATAGGATCTCCTGTAGTTGGTGATCGCTATACTGGTATACCAGTATTGTCCACAATACTGGTATAAAAATTTTGTACCAGTATTGTAACTTTTTTTTAAAAAACAGCAATACTGGTACATTACTGATATACCAGTATTGTAGTTGTATTGTTCACTATACTTTAAGGTGTATAATGAAAAATGAATTTTAAGCAGAATTAGATATATATTGAAGATCAAAGGGAGATTAAATGATCTCAAAAATAGAGGATAATTGTGAAATCAATTAACAACCAGTTAAAAATAATTACTATACTTGTACAAATAAACAAAAGATTATTGTAATTAACTCATCTTATTCAAACAATTGTTAATTATATAAATAATTGCTAATAATTTTATCATATTTCTATATTTTATTTAATTCAATTTAGATAAAACAAAATAAAAGCTTTATTATCTGAGTTATTAATTAATAAATTCAAGCAAATTATTACACTATGACACTGTAAATTCAGCATTTACATGTATGCCATCGTATATTTTTTACAGATATTTTAATACATGTAGACTAAGATTCTAAGCATTTGTTTGTCTTTATTTTCTTATCAGTCTTTCACAATAAACATGATAAAAGATATCAATATCCATTAAACATAAAAAGTTGCTTAATGATGAACCTGATTATAATTAAATTAACTAGTTTGTCTACATGAATGTTAAGGGTAGTTAAAGCAGTTGATTCAGAACCATTGGCAATACAATTTGAAGCAGATATATCTACTGGTACAAATACTCAAATACTAATACTAGACAAGCACTCCTACAGTAAGAGAGCCGTACAGGTGCTATCGAAACAAGCTTGTAATCTAGTAAGCGTAAGAGAAAGTCCACAGACTGAATACATAAATATCAATATAGGGATTGGGGGTTGCAGAAATGCCATCTGAAATTTAATTTATAGGTAAAACTTTTGTCTAAATACGGTCATCTAACTCCAAATTTTCAGGAGCACCCCGGCCCCTATTATCAAATTCTGGATCCAAGACTGGTGTGCATCTGCTCTGAAACAAGACAGGACACAAGACTTTCTTATGTCACATATGATTAAAACATTAATAACGTTTATTCACTTTAATTTCATTTTAATTGTTATATAACATGTATAGAGGGAGGAAATTATAATTGCTTTTAGCTGAGACTACTATTATAAGTTATATGGTTCGCTACTGACCCCCTACGGATCCATAGAGGGTTAGTAAAATCCATAGGGGGTGAGGCCGAAGGCCGAATCCCCTATGGATTTTATTCACCCTCTATGGTCTGTAGGGGGTCAGTAGTGAACCGTATAACGAATTTATCGCACGCGATACTTTTTCTGCAGCGTTTTGTAGAAAAATAAACAATGAAATACAAAAACATCAATAGATGACGTCACCATTAACAGTAGCCGTGACGTCATGAACCCACTATGAAATTTACTAACCCCCTACGGATCCATAGGGGGTCACCACGTGACGGCGTTAAACCAATCACAACGTAATAATTTACCCGCGGTGCGATAAAACGTGTTAAAGTAGTCTCAGCTTTTAGGAAGAGTAAAGAAAGCCCTTAAGGGCAGTATACAAATGTAATTACAAACAATTTATTACAATGATTATTTTTTTTGATGCTTGATGTTTGGTAATGACAAAATAAACTCAAAGGTTTTTTTTTATTCTCTGTTATAAAAAAGTATATTTATCAAGCACCAAAGTCAAAGTTATTTCGTTCCGATGGAACTTTCCAACTAGTTGTTTTATTCCGAGTGCAGTCGAAAAGTTCTGGAAAAAAGTAGCTAGTTGAAAAGTCCCGGAAGAATGTAGCTAGTTGAATAGTTAACCCTAACCCTAACAAAGAGGAACTTTGTGACTAGTTGATAAGTTCCATTTGACTTTTGTGGCTAGTATCTTTGCTCCCCTTTGAAAAGGTTCAAAGATAATATGTTGCGCTTTTACTTTGCATCAATTCTCCAAATGGAACTTTGTGACTGGTTGATAAGTTCCGTTGGAACTTTTGGGCTAGTTTGTTAGTTCCGGTTTTGACTTATTTGCCAAAGAGGAACTTTGTGACTAGTTGATAAGTTCCTCTTGACTTTTGTAATCAGTATCTTGGTTTCCCTTTGAAAGGTTCAAATATAATATGTTGCGCTTTTACTTTGCATCAATTCTCCAAATGGAACTTTCTGCCTGGTTGATAAGTTCCGTTGGAACTTTTGTGCTAGTTTGTTAGTTCCGGTTTTGACTAATTTGGCAAAAAGGAACTTTCTAACTAGTTGATATGTTCCGTTGGAACTTTTTAACTAGTCACTTTGTTCCGGTGGAACTTTTAAACCAGAGGAAGAACAAAGTAACTAGTTAATAAGTTCCTCTGGAACTTTTCGGCTAGTTAGTTCTTTCCACCCGGAACTTTCCAACATCAGAACAAAAGAGCATTTACATATGTGGTGTGGGTTAAACTAGTTTTGAGATCTCAACCCTCCCCAATAAAAGTGAGTACAGAAAAAGCATCTAATTCTATAATACCATTATAATAGATAGATGCCTTTTAAGCTATTACTTTAAAATTCCACCTCATCTTGCGGGTCCATCACACTTCCACTAGACACTAGAGGTGAATTATTTTTTAGTCCACAGGAAGACATATCACCCGACTTAGACACATTATTCTGAGTTGGAGTTTGCAAGTCTTTCTTACTTCTAAATGCTGCCTGCTGGGCGTAGCAGCAGCAATTGCTAATTGTGAAGTCTTTGGTTTGACTCAGCTGTGAATCTCCCTCATTAAGGTGAACACCATACAAAGAGTTGTTGTTTAAAGAAAATAACACATAAACATAACCCTCATTTTAGTTAAGCTTACTCATTCTCATTTTGTTGTTGTTGAAGAAATGAAGGTGTCAAGGAAGTCAAAGTTCAGATGCAGAGACTACACATGAGTACAGAAAATCAAGACATGGTCAGAGACATGCTGAAAAATCTACATGGAGATGATGAAAAAGAAGAAGAATTTGACGATGATAACAGGTTTATGATTTTTTCAAGTATTTTATTACATGTACTTAGCCTAAGAATTTAAAGGATTTTACTTATTTATCCATATTATTTGTGTGTGTAGATGATTAGTTTAGTTCTGATCACATGGAATTTTATATTTGATTTTATTTAATAGGTGATAGATATACTTTTGATGATTAATCATTCCATCTTTTTTTTTCTAATTAATATACATTTATTTGACATTTATTTAAAAAATAACACTTGAAAACATACTTTTTATACAGTGACAAAGACTATGAAGAGGTACCAGAGTATGATGAACTAGATGTAAGATATGAAGACCAGTATTGGCTGACAGATAACACATTATATGTGGAAGATACCATACCCTTGGCCAACATGGGAGGACAGACAGCAGCAGACTGTACACAGAAAGATAGTATCAGTCCTTATGCACTGAATAAGTTATTAAGGTTGTAGTTTTTAAAATTTAAATAGCTGAGACATTTATTTTACTTTCATAATGTTATATGTATATAAGTTAATCAGTCTGAGTAAAAACAGTATATAAGTTAATCAATCTGATTAAAATGCAGATCCTGTGTCTAAAATTTGCTTACAAGGATCTGAAAACACTCGGTTTTACTTTCTGTTCTAGTAATTATTACATCAGCGGCAGCCAATGAAATTCCAGCCTTCAAAATTTTGAAGGCGTGTTTTAATCATCCAAAACCAAACTAAAAGTATCCCAAAATTCTTTGTAACAGAAAGTAGACGGGAGCATTTTCAGATCCTTGTAAGCAAAGCTTAGATACAGGATTTGAATTTTAATCAGATTGATTAACTTATATACTGTTTCTAATCAGATTGATTAACTTATATACTGTTTCTAATCAGATTGATTAACTTATATACTGTTTTTGATCAGATTGATTAACTTATATAACTTGTTTGTTTGATTATTTTGTAATTCTTTGTTTGTTATATTTCAATGCATTTCATGGGGGCCTCAGGGAAGATTAGTTTTGTAGCTAAGTGTGTAACCCTCTTTAAATAAAGAATTATTATTATTATTATTATTACTGGTACACTTATACATTTATTCCTGTTATACACCTAAGGGACTTCCTGTTTGCCGATACTTTGAATTTTAAAAGATGTTGACCGAACTTAAATTTTTCATCACACTTTTCTCAAGTACTACTAAACAGAGTTACTTCATTTTTAGTCAGCAGCTGGGCAGTGATGAGATCAGTCAGACACTCATTACCTTATATAACAAGTAGGGCTATGTTTAACAATACAACACATGCATTCTTGTTTAGCTTCTATAAAAATCTAAATAGAACTGACCATTTTCAAGAAAATTTGGTGAACAAATGAATTTCTCCTAATGTTATTATGAAGAATTAGATAATACAGGTAAAAAAACTTTTATTTTGTACTGTTACAATATAGTTGCATTGAAGGACCTCAGTGGCTGAATTGGACAAAAAACTTTCGCACATATAATGCTAGAGTGATGCTTTTGAGGACTGGATATTCAAGTTAAGTTTCAAATTCCCCCTGAAATATGGTGAAAAACATTTACAACATAATGTTTTTTGTAATACATATCTGGTTTACCTTTATAAATTGTAACTTGGATGGAGAGTTGTCTCATTGGCACTCATACCACATCTTCCTATATCTATCTTCTATTATACAGGTATGGTTATGAAAGACAGAGTTGTATAGAAGCTTTACAAGTAAATGATGGTGACCTGGGTGTAGCCTACGAGTACTTGTTTTCTCAATGCTTTCTTGAAGAAGGAGGCGATGAAGAGCAAAATGACATAACCAACACTTTGACTGAAAATGGTATGACTTTTGATGAAGTTATCGAGCAAAGGAATGAAGAAATGACCGCTTTACAGTCAATATATGATGAAAATTTTACTGAGAAAATTCCCAACAAAATATGGACATTAAAGTTTCAATGTGAACTGTTAAGAGATTTAATTTTTAAACCTGAAAAATCTGAAAACTCTGATGTAACATCAAGGAAATCTGAGGAAATTTGTAAATTTCATTTGAAAGGTGCTTGTAGATTTGGTCATAGATGTAGATATGTTCATGATTTGGAAAACAAAAATGTACAGGAAGTTGATGACAGACACTTGAAACAGGATGTTGATACAAATTTTGAAATGGATCTTCGTTTCACAAAAGATAATCTTTACCCATTAGAAGCACCATTTATTGGATTCTCAGCTCTAGATCCGATGTTCCCTCCTTATATATCATTAAATATTACAGAACATATGTACAAGGAAGCAAAGACATATTCAGAATATCAGTTACCAATTGTCTTTGCCTTAGTAAGTCTGTTAGAGGATGAAGCTTTATTACAACAGCTTGTAGATAAAATGCCATTAGAATCTAGTCTTCCCCAATGTACTAGTCCATCCTGGAAGCAGAAGGAATCAGCTGGACCAAAACCACAAATAGAAAAGCAGTTACATGGAACCTCTAACGACCAGGAAAATGATACTGAAATAAGTGAAGAAGATGTAAATGCTATTATAAACATGATCGAATCAGATGTGAAAGAAGAGTCTGATTTCAAAGTTGAGAGGAAACGTACTACATCTAGAGAAACTGATGATTTGCATATAAGTCCTGGCGAAGTGCTAAAGCAAAACAAAATACTCAAGGAAGAATTTATTAGAAAAAAGGTAATTTACATGTTTACTTTATATGAGTATTGAAACAGTATATGTTTGGTCTTGTATACTCATTTTGTATTGAAGGATATATATAGTCTTATTAAAAAGTAAATAAAAACAAATAGATTTTAAAAAAGATTGATAAATCATTACCATATATAATCAACTTCATTGACTTCTAAACCTCCACATTGTACACAGAATGCTTTTGGATTTTTTTATGCCCCCACCGTAGCGGTGGGGGCATTAAGTTTTACCCTTGTCCGTCTGTACGTACGTCCCAAAATTGGTTTCCGTTCTCTAACTTGAGTTTGCCTCTACCAAATGTTATCAAACTTATACACAATGCTTATTACCACAAAACACAGATCAAGTTTGAATTTTGGTGGTGTCACTTTAACCGTTCTAGAGTTATGCCCCTTTATAAATGGAAAAATTGCAAAATTTTTATTTTCTTCTAAATATCAAGTAATTTTTAAAATTGGAGTTATCTTCCTTTGTCCATGATTATAGTTGAATCAACTACAATCAATGCTTTATACAATGCAATGTTAATTTTGACTTCCACTGATAAAACACAGATCAAGTTGAATTTGGGTAGTGTCACTTTAACCATTATTGAGTTATGCCCCTTTATAAATCGAAAGATTGCAAAATTTTTAGTTTTCATTCTGTAACTTAAGTTTGCCCCAACCAAACATTATGAAACCATTACACAATATTCATTACCACAAAACTAAGATCAAGTACAAATTTTTTGTTTCCGTTTTCTAACTTTAGTTTGCCTCAACCAAATGTTATGAAACTTATACACAATGCTTATTACTACATAATACAGTAGTAAATTTGGTGGTGACACTTTTACCATTCTTGAGTTATAAAAATTGAGAATGGAAATGGGGAATGTGTCAAAGAGACAACAACCCGACCATAGAGCAGACAAAAGCCAAAGGCCACCAATGGGTCTTCAATGCAGCGAGAAACTCCCGCACCCGGAGGCGTCCTTCAGCTGGCCCCTAAACAAATATGTATACTAGTTCAGTGATAATGGACGTCATACTAAACTCCAAATTATACACAAGAAACTAAAATTAAAAATGATACAAGACTAACAAAGGTCAGAGGCTCCTGACTTGGGACAGGCGCAAAAATGCGGCGGGGTTAAACATGTTTTTTGAGATCTCAACCCTCCCCCTATACCTCTAGCCAATGTAGAAAAAACAAATGGACAACAGTACGCACAGTAAAACTCAGTTTAAGAGAAGTCTGAGTCCGATGTCAGAATAGGAAACAAAAGAAAATAAACAAAATGACAATAATACATAAATAACAACAGACTACTAGCAGTTACTGACATGCCAGCTCCAGACCTCAATTAAACTGATTGAAAGATTATGTCTTCCATCATATGAATATGTCCATTTATAAACATAAAAATTGCTGAATTTTTCATTTCCGTTCTCTAACTTTAGTTTGTCTCAACCAAATGTTATAAAACTTATACACAACCGTTCTAGAGTTATGTTTACAAATAGAAAAATTGCTGAATTTTTAGTTTCTGTTCTCTTCTTTAGTTAGCCTCAACCAAATGTTATGAGACTTACACACAATGCTTATTACCACAAAACTCAGATCAAGTTCAAATTTGGGTAGCGTCACTTTTACCGTTCTTCAGTTATGTCCCTTTATAACTATATGATATGCAAGTGGGGGCATCATCTGTGTCCACATGTGGACACTATCCACATTCATTTATACATGACTCAACTGTCATGCTTCCATATGAGTATAATCGATTGATTGCTTGGTGTTTAATGCCACTTTCAGCACTATTGTACATGTGCTATTTCGTGGCGGTCAGTTTTTATTGGTGGAGGAAGCCTGAGTGAACCACAACCTTATGTAGGAAAACTGGTCAATTAAGATTGGAGTCGGATGCACTTGCCACGTGCAGGATTCGAACTTATAACCTCAGTTTGACAGGCCAGTGATACAGTAGTTCGACTACAAAATGTACTAAACCACTTGGTTACCAAGGCCCCCCCATATGAGTATGCCATTTTTTTCTCAATTTGTTACTTTAATATGGAAGCACAAAAGAAATACAAAGAAGAGGTAAAAATAATCAACTGGAATGGAATTTTTACTATTATTAAACTAATTTACTTGCTTATGAAGACAATGATATGTAATAACATGTGATTTAAATAAATAACACTTCTTTAAATTGAATATTTTAGACATTACCCAAATACAGGTCAATGTTATCTCAAAGAAAAAAGTTACCTGTATGGAACAAACAAGATGAGTTACTGTCTGCTATTGATGGACATCAAGTAACCGTAATAAGTGGTATGACGGGGTAAGTAACTTGCACGAACAAGGTCAGATCTTTTTAGCTAGAGATGATCATCAGGTGATAATTATTTATGAATACTATTATGACAGGATGAGATGTTTATTAGGTGGAACAGATCTGGGTTTGAGTTAAGTACCTTTAAATGTTGATAATGGACCTTTCGTTCATCACAATAATTTTCACAGAGAGACAGAGAAAAAATGTAAACCCTAGATAGTTAGCCTCAGCAAAAATTTTAGAACACGGAGAGCAGGGAAGTGTAATAGAGGTATGCAAGGTAATTTTTGTATGATTTTCTTGAAATCAAATAAGAAGACAATTAAACTGTTTTTTAATCCCTTCATTTTTCGTTTGACTCCTTTTCACAATTACCTATCTGGCTTTCATCATTTGAAAGTAATTGTCGTTTGTTGCTGTATATTATATTTGTTTTTCGTTTATTGTTTCGTACATAAATCCGGTTGTTAGTTTTCTAGTTTGAATTGTTTTACATTTGTCATTTCAAGGTCTTTTATAGCTTACTATAGTTTTGCTCATTGTTGAACACTGTACAGTGACCTAAAGTTGTCATTTGGTCTCTGGTGGATAGTTGTCTCATTGGCAATCATACCACATCTTCTTATTACACGACCGCAAAAAAATGATTGCGTCGTTTAATGCTATGGTGTCGTCTGCATCAGCGTCATCCGAAGACACATTTGGTTTCAGGACAATAACTTTAGTTTAAGTGAATGGATCTCTAAGAAATTTTACCAGAAGGTTCAATACTACAAAAGGTAGATTTGGATTGATTTTGGGGGTTATGGTACCAACAGTTTAGGAATGAGGGGCCAACATTAAACATTTTTGTAGTTTCCGGACAATAACTTAAGTGTTAGTGTATAGATCTCTCAGAACTTTTACCACAAGGTTCCATATCACAAAGGGAAGGCTGGGATTGAGTTTTGGGGGTAATTGCCCCTATGGTTCAGGAACTAGGGGCAAAAAAGGGGCCAAAAACAAGCATTTTTTAGTTTCCAGACAGTAACTTGTGTTTAAGTGTATGGAACTCTCAATTTCAAATGATTGCACAGTATTGTGCAATAGCAAGAAATCTTCAATTGCACAGTAATGCACAATTGCACAGTATTGTTCAATACCATGGTATTGGGCAATAGCAAGAAATCGTCAATTGCACAGTATTGTGCAATAGCAAGAATTCTTCAATTGCACAGTATTGCGCAATAGTAAGAAATCTTCAATTGCACAGTAATGCGCAATAGCAAGAAATCTTCAATTGCACTGTATTGGGCAATAGCAAGAAATCTTCAATTGAACAGTATTGCGCAATAGCAAGAAATCTTCAATTGCACAGTACTGCTGAATAGCAAGAAATCTCCAATTGCACAGTATTGCGCAATAGCAAGAAATCTTCAATTGCACAGTATTGCCAAATAGCATAGTATTGCGCAACAACAAAGTATTGTGCAATAGCAAGAAATCTTCAATTGCACAGTATTGCGCAATAGCAAGAAATCTTCAATTGCACAGTATTGCACAATAGCAAGAAATCTTAAATTGCACAGTATTGTGCAATAGCAAGAAATCTTCAATTGAAAGTAAATACAAATCTTTTAACCAATTTCAATGGGATTAATTTAAAGTCTTTAATTTTTGGGGGTTCTAACCTTGTATTACTTTTTTGGATATTGGGCCCCATTTTTAAATTGGTCTACATTGAGGTCAAAAGGGTCCAAAATTAAATTTTGTTTGATTTCATCAAAAACTGAATTATTGCGGCTATATGATATGCTGAATCTCATTGTGCACTTAGATTTTTTATTTTGGGCCCTGTTTTCAAATTATATAGATATAGGAAGATGTGGTATGAGTGCCAAAAGAGACAACTCTCCATCCAAGTAACAATTTATAAAAGTATAGTCCATATTAAGGTTTGAAGGGTCTAAAATCAAACTTTGTTTGATTTCAACTAAAATTAAATTTTTGGTGTTTTTTTATATGCTGAATCTAACCATGTTGATGATTTTGGATATCAGACCAATCTAGGTAAACTCAATGTCCCATTTCAAATTTTTAAGATCTTTGACCAAATTTATTTTGTGTCAGAAACCTATATTATGTCAAAAGCTTGAATATTGTGTCCAAACTTGCCCCAACTGTTTAGGGTTAGACCTCTGCGGTCATATCTGGCTGCGCTCAGCAAGCATTATTTTTATATTTATAATAAACAGAGAACCATACTTTCCCCTTGAGATTTTTAGCTTACAATTTAAAAATAACAATACATATTGTAGTAGAATGCATCTATCAAAAATGTAATTAATAATATTCATTTATTTGACATTCATCCTGACCCATTTCTTATATTGATCAAATCATCACATCACTTTTTATTTTACAGTATAGCAATGGATCATGCATTTGAAAGCTGTTGTTAATTTTTAAAAGATACTTTGATAAGTATTTAATTACTGTACTGACATTTTTTTCTTTTTTTTTCAGATGTGGTAAAACAACACAAGTACCACAGTTTATACTTGATTCCTTTCTGAATGGTAAAGGTTTACATTTATGTAATATGCTATGTACACAACCCAGAAGAATATCAGCTATGTCTGTGGCAGAGAGAGTGGCTGCAGAAAGGGCTGAGAAACTTGGCCGAAGTGTGGGATATCAAATCAGATTAGAGAAAGTACAGGTAATGCTACGAAGCAGAGATTTCATTATTCAATAATTGACATTTCAAAACTGCACCTGCTATTTGTCTTTTCCTTTATATACCCACTAGAATGGTAGCTGAAAAATAATTTCATATTTTTTATTAAATTATGGTTGTAGACATTATGTATCAAGAATCTAGATAGAAATAGAAAAAGAGATAAGCTGTAATATATCATTTATTTTCATTACTGTGCTTATGCTAAAGGCTTTTCCCTTTCACAATACCAATTGCTTAAATATTTTAGCAAATTGCAGTTTGAATTGATCTCTACAAACTGATCAACTGGTAAAACAGTTTAGCACATAGCTAGTTGTTAGTATGAAGCCTTTAGGATAAGCAAAGTAAGAGAATGAGCCCTATAAATATTTTGTTTTGGTACATTGCTAGGGAAGACCTGTACCTACAATATATATTTTTGAACCCTATGTGTTATAGTCAGCTGGATAACTTGATAACAGTTTGTACATTTTATTTCAGTCTGGAATGACCAGATTATTATTTTGTACCACTGGTATTGTACTAAGGAGATTAGAAGGAGATCCTAAGTTAGAGGGAGTGACACATATTATCATTGATGAAGTCCATGAACGATCACAGGAAAGGTTATTGTTTTTCTATTCATCTCTTTTTTTATTGCATTAGAATTGAATAATACTGTTCATTTAATTTTTTTAGTTTAAATTTTTTTTCTATAGAATGTATGAGCTTATCACATGTGCATTATTAGAGACTGTATAGTGACTTTTTTCATATTACTGACTTTTGACACTGGAGTATATACTTTTTCGACATGGTTACCTAATTCTGTGGTAGGACATACTGGTACTCGGTCAGGTAATAGCAACTATTAGAAGTAAAATCAAGCTTACAATTGGTGCAATTTGGGGAAAAGATTAACTGTTTTCTGATGATTTTGTATATAAAAAAGAAAACAAGATTTTTTTTTCTCCCAAATTTCACCGATTATAAGCTTGATTTTTCTTCTTTTAGTTGCTCCTACTTGACCTAGTACCAGAATGTCCTACCACAGATCAGGTTACCTGTCCAAAAAATTATATACTCCAGAGTCAAAGTTGGCAATATGAAAATAGTCTATTGAATATTCATCTTCTTTCCCTTTGATTTTTTTTAATGTTCTTCACACATGAAACAGACAAACTTGTTAACAAGTTATATAGTGGGTAATTGCCTCATTGACAATTAACAATACTTCCTTTATTTAATCTTTCCTTGAAATTGTATCAATTACTTGGTAATTCAAAAGTGAAATATCTTTTACGTCAGACTTTTACAACTTCTATAATAGTGGCAGTATTAGAATTGAAGGTTTTTATGTAAGAAATAAGACAACAGTGTAAGTATAGACAACTACAACCTATATCATTTTAAAGCGAATTGAAGCACATTTCCTATTTAACTGTCATTTCAGCACTCCATCCTTCATGAAGTAATTGTTCGGTCTGCTTAGTTTTTACCAAGGCAAATGCCATGCTTTTCAATGTTTTAGAACACAAGAAAGGAGTCTATAAAGTGCAATCATGGATCTACTCCTTATCCATCCCATCTTCCTGTCTATCAGAGCCTAATAATTTATATTATTAACTTATTTTGATGAATATGGTATGAAATATCTACCACTGGAGGCTCAAGCAATAGTTATCTTCATAAAATTGTGTAGCAATCTTAAAATCTCTTTATACATATTAACTCATTTGACTTGATTTATTTTTAGATAAATATATACTCTTTTACAGTGATTTTCTAATTATGTACTTGAGAGATGTTTTATATACTCGTCCTGACTTGAAGATAATCCTGATGAGTGCCACATTAAATGCGGACCTATTTTCAGCCTATTTCAATGGTTGTCCTGTCATAGATATACCAGGTAACAAGCCTTTATAAAAATCAGATAATTACCATACAGGTGATATTGTATATGTATCTGAATCCTGTCTTATCAGTGATGACATATATATTACTTGCCAGTTTTGTTGTCACTATCTCATATTAAATGTTAGATTCTTTTATTAGATGACTACAAATTGAAAAAAAGTTGATGACTATTTCCAGCAGTGGTGTTGTCTGTATTCCTTCAACTTATGTTATTTTTTTTTATTAATTTTCATACATTTTTATGTTTCTGTTGAAGTGTATTAATGTTTTACTTCTGAATCTTTGATTGCAATGGGAAAAATAAGATTAGGGCATTCTAAAACATGATAGGTGATACCAGCAAATCTGTATGCAGTTGTTCTCACTACTAGAGATGATGCAAGACTTCTTATTCATTCGTCTAAAAAATATATAGAATAAAGATAAAAAGACAACTAACAATCTGTAAAACATTACATAAAAAATATTGAACAACTAAAACTGAGAAATATAAGACTGATTTAAATTGCAGGTATAAATGTTAGAGAATGATATCTATATTTGTACTGACAACTAATAGCGAAGGAAAATTTGAATAGCTTCTTTTTTCTGCCTGTTTCTTAAGTTCATATAGCGGTAGATGATTTTTAATTTCCAGTTTTGTACTCCCAAAAATCCAGAACGAAACAAAAACTGACAATGTATTTGTGATGTTTGATTAGAAATTTATGAATCAAAATTTGCATTTAAGTCTTGATTCTTGTAGAAATTGTATTTAGCAATTCTACAAAACTTTATTTACACTTCAGGTAGAACATTCCCTGTTGATCAGTATTTTTTAGAGGACGTCTTGGATATGACGAGGTAAGTTCATTTAACTATTTATTTTAATATATTTCTAGATGAGGACCAGATAATGAGGCTACATGTACATTGGTACATTGGAAAATTTATGCTTGCATTTATTAAACCAAATCTTCAAAATTGTAATGAAATGCAGAAATTACTGTAAAGATATATATATAATGCTTTGTGGTAAAAATGTGCATAATTGGTAGAAAAGTGTGAGAATTATATTTAACAATGTAATCAGAACCCAGTTAAAATTTAAGTACATGTAAAATAAATCTATCTCTGAATTTGCTGTTGTAAATGATCACTGATATGAACTTAAATTTACCTAGGGTAAATGTAATTGGGATCTGTTTTAGCTGTATTTATCACTTTGTTGTAGATTTGTAATGGAAGAAAAGTCGCCATATGCTAGACCTTTACAGAAATCTAATGCTGTGTTTAAATATGGTGCAGACTACGATGATGAGTTTGAATTTATAAATAATGATCCATCTAAGCCAGCTGCTGACCATGTCAAAGATGAAAATCTCAGTGTTAAACAACTTAAAATGAGATTTCCAGGTCAGTTTAATAAAAGCTTTATTGTGTTATCAGGAAATGCATATGAATTCTCTGTTCTTGTGAATCAAAAGCTAAAGAAAAATTTTTAGTTACATGTTTGGCTGTAAAAATCATAAAGAATATGAGCATCACTAACTCAATCAAGTTAACGATTTCTCATTTTTTGTCACAAGCTCCCTCTTAAAGAAGAGGTACATTTCAAAATAAAACTGTAAGGATAGTTTATAATGTGAACACACATAGAAAGTTGTTAATGTTAAAGTAAAATCCTTGTAGAGAGAAAGTAGAAATATTACATGTAGAGAAAAGGCAATATTCATAAATATTCAATGACTACAAATAATTAAATGTTCGATTACTAGAATGACTTGCTTTTAGATTACAGTAAAACAGTCCTTAAGACTTTGTCTATGATGGATATGAGTAAGATCAACTTTGACCTTGTCGTGTCCTTGCTAGAATTTATCGTAGATGGGGATCATGAGGTAAATGCTTCAACTATATACAAATATACCTATAATTTTGTTGTTGTTATATCGTAAAAATATTTTTTAAGTGAGACACATAAGTAAACAAATATGGCTTTAAAAAACCATGTTGGCTAATGGATAATGCGAACTATTTTCATGTTTGTGAATCCACAATTGTCAGTATTATCAGAAATTGGCAAGTTCTACTCTATTATCACAGACAGCATAAATCCAAATTGGTAGAAGATTCATTGGAGGATAACATGATAGACGTCTTTTGCTGATCTAGAATTGTATTACTACATGGCTGATTTTCAATGAAACATGAGATTATAGATACATATATATGCATATACATGTATATATATTACCCTTTAAATTTTTATTATTTTCTTTGATTCTACTTCTTAAAAAAACCATTAAAACTAGTTATTGATATACATTTAGTTTCCCAATGGATCAGTGTTAGTATTTCTACAAGGATTCTCAGACATTCAAACAGTACTAGATCTTCTACAGACAAGTCCTGTGTTTGGTCATAGGAATCAAAGAAAGTAAGTCGTTTTTATAAAGAAGGAAGTAAGGCAACAAAAAAAATAAAAGAGTTGTTCTGCAGATATTTCAGATGAAAATATTGGGGAAAAAAACAATGTTTCTTCTGACGGGGAAAGTACAGTTTGAGTCAAACAGGCAAAAAAAATCAGTTGTATTTTTTTTTTTTTTATTTGCAGAAATGAATGTTGAACTAATGTACTAAGATAAAACAATGGAATATATGTTCAGAGTATTTCCTCATAAAGGTTTATACAGCCAAACAGCCATGAAATGACATTGAATTAGTAAAATGGCAAAATTACACTTTATCATCTTCTATTTGTATCAAAATAGTGTGTTTTCATTCTGAAATTGATTGAAAAATTCAAAATTGACTTGATATGTTTGTTAAAATGTCAAAAGGTCTAACAGCATATAGACCATTTTTCCAGCATACTTGTATGTTGTTACGGCCAGAAATCACCTTTAAATTGTAGCCAACAAAAGACACAAATCAATAATAAAATTTAACAAGATTTATTATACACAAGTTTACAAGAAGTATTACACAAATAGAAAATGTCAACTTAACTGTCAAAATATATGTCCGATCTTTTGTCTTTTCTTTATCTGGAATTCTTCGCAGGAATCCAAACAGAATATTAAGTCCAATTGGTCACAATCTAGTATGATGTAGTTAACGTGAATAAAAATGTCAATGTAAAATAACTCCAGAGAACTTCTGAGAATATTAATGTCTGATCTGTAATTTCGGTATCTGTATATATATAGTTGTCATGGAAACTTCTAGAACACTGTAGAAAGGAAACTCCTAGAAAACTGTAGAACAGAAACTTCTAGAACAATGTAAGAAGTTTAAATTACGCATCTTTTATTATGATCATTCTGGAATCGTTATGTAAGTCAAATAGAAAGTTCTAATCATTCCATCAGTCTCTCTGATTGTTCCAGTGACTTGTAAACTGTACAGTTACAATATTATTTTGTAAACAACTATAAGGCCACACAAAACAAATTAGGCCAACTAAATAAACATGATAGTTTCAATATCATAACACCTCCCTCCTTAAAAGAAGTTTGAGTGTAACGAGAACTTTTCATGAAAAATATATACAAAAATGTATAGTATACATGTATGTATACAGTGTTTTAATAAGATCTAGATAAAGCATCTGCTATTACATTATCTTTACCTTTAATGTGTTTCACAATAACATCATATTCCTGTAACAATAAACTCCACCTAGTCAACCTCTGGTTCTTGTTTCTCATTTTATGTATGAAGGTGAGAGGATTATGATCACCAGTATAAACAAGAATAGAATGCATAATGGGATTTAAATATACATCAAAATGTTGAAGTGCAGACAATAGTGCAAAACACTCTTTTTCAATAGTTGAATAATTTTTCTGATGTTTATCTAATTTCTCAGAAAAATATGATATACCGTAGGTTTTTCAACATTATCATCAGTTTCTTGATATAAGACGGCTCCAACTCCTACATCACTTGCATCAACGGCAAGTTTAAATTGTTTTTCAAAGTCTGGAGTGATCAGAACTGGACTTTTAATTAAAAGTGATTTGCTATTTTCAAAAGCCTTTTGACAATTATCACTCCAGATAAATTTAGAATCTTTCCGTAAAGGATGAGTCAATGGTTGAACAACAGTAGCAAAATTTGAACAAAATTTTCTGTAAAATACAATCATGCCTAAATATCTCATAAGTTGTTTTTTATTTGTAGGAGGGGGAAATTTGGTAATTGCATCCACTTAAGCCATAATAGGTTTCACTTGACCTTGGCCAGCTGTATGCCCTAATTAATCAACAGTGGCCTGACAAAATTCACTTTTACCAAGATTTACAGTCAAATTTGATTGTGACAATCTATCAAAAGTATTACCTGTACATAAATGTGTTAAATGCTCTTCCCAGCTATCACTACATACAATAAGATCATCAATATAAGCATAACAACAGTCTACACTTTTATAACATTATTGATCATTCTTTGAAATGTAGCTGGAGCACTTTTCATACCAAACAACATGACAGCATATTGAAATAAGCCGTCTGGTGTGACAAAAGCTGATATTTCACGAGCTCTCTGTGTCAATGGTACCTGCATGTAACCTTTCAATAAATCAAATTTGCTCACAAATTTTGCTTGTTCAATGTTATCAATACAGTCGTCTATCCTTGGAATCGGATAGGAATCAGATTTTGAAACTGAATTTACTTTTCTGAAACCAGTTACGAAAAGAAAGGTTTTATCTGGTTTGGGTACAAGGAGGCAAGGAGAGCTCCATTCACTGTTACTCGGCTCAATAATATCATTGTCAAGCATATATTTAATTTCTTGTCTCATAAATTCAAGTTTAAGTGGGTTGAACCGGTAAGAATGTTGCTTAATTGGAGAAGCATCGCCTGCATCAACATCATGACAAACAGCAGTGGTTTTGTTTGGCACATCTGGAAAAAGTTTATTAAAAGAAAATACCAAAGTTTTCAATTTTTCTCTATGATCAAAAGTCAGATGTGCAAGTTTTGAGTCTAAATTTGACAAAATTTCTGAATTTTTTAATCTAACAGTTTGTTCCATAGTTTTAGAATCAAAAGGTGGTTCAATTATGTCTGGTTTGTCATTATTGTTCTCCAATTTAACCATGGCTAACTGGTTTTTTCTCACCTTCATTAATACACTCAAAATATGGTTTTAACATATTAATGTGACACACTCTATTTTGTTTATGCCGACCTGGTGTGTTTACAGTATAATTCAAATCATTAATTTTACTCTCTATGGTATAAGGACCACAATATTTAGCCTGCAAAGGATGTTCAGGGACTGGCAAAAATACAAGTACCTTATCACCAGGCTCAAAAACTTTGTCCCTGGCATCTTTATCAAACCATATTTTCATCTTATTCTGAACAGTTTTTAAGTTTTTCTGAACAATTTGACAAGCAGTATACATTTTTTCTTTAAATCTAGATACATAGTCTAGAAGATTCAAGTCAGTGTGTTCAGTAAGCTATTTTTCCTTAACCAATTTTAAAGGTCCCCTTACAGTATGACCAAATACTAACTCAAAGGGACTAAAACCAAGGGATTCTTGAACAGCCTCGCGGACCACAAAAAGTAAAAAGTGAACACCATCATCCCAGTCTCTGTCAAATTGAAGACAAAAAGTTCTAATCATGTTCTTCAATGTTTGATGAAAACGTTCTAAGGCACCTTAAGATTCTGGATGATAAGCACTTGACCTATACTGAGCAATCCCTAACTGGTAAACGACCTGCTGAAATAAACCTGACATGAAATTTGAACCCTGCTTGGACTGTATAGACTTAGGAAGTCCTTCTAACGTGAAAAATTTGATAAGAGCTTTGACAATTGTTGGCGTCTTGACATACCTTAACGGAATAGCCTCAGGAAAGCGAGTGGACGTACACATGATCTTTAATAAATACGCATCTTCAGTCTTGGTCTTTGGTAAAGGTCCATCGCAGTCAATTAGTACTCTGCTGAAAGGTTCTTCAAAGGCTGGAATTGACAGAAGTGGTGCTGGTGGTATTTTCTGGTTAGGCTTACCAACAACTTGGTCTTTGGTAAAGGTCCAATGCAGTCAATTAGTACTCTGCTGAAAGGTTCTTCAAAGGCTGGAATTGGCAGAAGTGGTGCTGGTGGTATTTTCTGGTTAGGATTACCAACAACCTGGCATATATGGCATGATTTGCAGTATTCTGTGACATCATTTCTAAGTCCAGGACAGTAGAAATGCTGCAAGATCTTAAGGCAAGTCTTCCTTATACCTAAATGTCCAGCCAAGGCGGTGTCATGGGCAAGACCAATTATTTCTTGCCTATAGACTTTAGGTACCACCACTTGGTATACCACCCTCCATTCCTCCTCTGGGGAAGAATATGGGGCCTCCACTTCCTCATTAAAATGCCGTCTTGATGGTTATAGCATTCGGCCACTTAGTCAGCTTCCTCCTGTGGTTGAGCTCTCTTGCAGAGCTGAAGAACCTCGGGGTCTTTTTTTTGTTTTTCAACAAATTTCCTTCGGTCTAATGAATGGCTGTTCACGTCTGGCCATGGCATAATTACATTCTTGTTAGTATTAGGTGGTCTTACTATGGCCTTCTCTGAGCTATCTGGACCTTCAATGTTGGCAAGGAAAGTGTCAGAAAGGTCCATGTAATCAAACTGGTCTTCTTGCAAATCCTCATTTTGTTGTTTTCTAGCCATCGCCCTAATAACAACATAAGCTTGATACAGTTCGGCATCATCTTCAGGTGATTTAACATCCACCACCGGTTCACTGGTAACAACTGGTTCATCAACCACTTTGTTCCTATCTAGATCATTTCCTAGCAATAATGAAACACCCTCAACAGATAGATTAGGACGAACACCCACAACAACTGGTCCAGTAATCAAATCTGACTTCAGGTAAATAAGATAGAGGGGAACATCTATACAACCTAACTCCACACCTTGTAACAAAACAGAGGCACCAACAGAAGTCTCCTCAGACAAAGGCAACACACCTTCTAACATAAAGTCTGAGAAGCGCCAGTGTCCCGTAAAATCTTAATAGGCCGAGGAGTAGTATTATCAACAATGGAAACAAACCCATCAGACACAAAGTTTATAATCCTCCATGTAATCACAAAAACTTGACTTAAAAGCCTGTCTCTCAGGACATTCCAACTTATTGGTAACAAGGGGTGATGTACAAGCACTGATCTTGGGCTTATTATCTCTTTCATTCTTCTTCTCGAGTCTAAAACAATCAGCCATCTGGTGACCATTTTTCTTACAATAAGCACAAGTTAGTGACTTCTTCTCAAAAGTATCAAATTTAGAACTAGACATATTATAACTAGACTGACTCTTATTCTGTTCAACAGGCTTACTTTCAGTACGCTCAGTACTTTGATTTTTGTAATTTCCGCTCGAAGTATTAAAATTTTGACCTTTGAAACTTCTTTTATGTGAGAGGGTATAATTATTGGAAATAACAGCTACATCTTGCAATGTCTCAATAGTTTTGTCGTCTAAATGTGTTTTTAAGTCTAAATGAACACACTACTTGAACTCTTCTAATAACATTAATTGTCTTATTTTATCAAAATTGTTATCTATTTTCTTTGACGTAAGCCATTAATGAAATAGATCTTCTTTTTCCATAGTAAATTCAACATAGGTTTGTGAATCAAACTTTTTATATGACCTAAATTTCTGTCTATATGCTTCTGGCACAAGCTCATAAGCTTTCAAAACTTCCTGTTTTACCGTGTCATAATCAGAACTTTTTTCTGATGAAAGTGCTGAGTAAATTTCAGGGGCCTTGCCCTCAAAAACACTTTGCAGCATTGTAGTCCAATAAGGCTTTGGCCAATTCAAATTTTAGTAATTTTCTCAAACTGTGGGAAAAAAATCTATCAACTGTTTTTTTCACAAAATTTGGGAACCAAACGTATATTTTTTGCTGAATCAAAATAAAAATGTTCTGATTTTGACTCTACTTTAGTGTTGCTTTCTACTTTAACCATTTCAATTTTTATTTTCTCCATCTCTAACCTTTCCCTCATTTTAAGCTCTGCCTGTTTTAATTTAAAGTCATCTTCTTTTTCTTTCATCTTCTCCATCTCTAACCTTTCCTTCATTTCAAGTTCTGCCTGCCTTTCTTCTTTTTCTTTTTCCAATTGTTTTAATTTTAGTTCATGTTCTAATTCAAGCTGTTTTAATTTGAAAGCATCAACATTTTCGACCTTGGGTTCAAGAGCCTCGTCACCAAAAATTTCTGAGTCAACTAAATTGTCTATTACCAAATTTTCTATAATTTGTTTTCGCATAGATACTCTAAAATCTATTTGTAGATGTTTAGCAAGCAACACTAAATCTTCTTTCTTTAGTTTATCAAACCCTTTTAGGTCTGGCATTTTCAAAAATTTACCAGCATTAAATGTCATATTGTTGACTTTTGTTGGCTAATAATTCTAATTCAATATAAATACTGAAAAATTTTTAATCTGATATTCACGTTCTCCCGGACAAGCCCCCAATTTCTGTTACGGCCAGAAATCACCTCTAAATTGTAGCCAACAAAAGACACAAATCAATAATAAAATTTAACAAGATTTATTATACACAAGTTTACAAGAAGTATTACACAAATAGAAAATGTCAACTTAACTGTCAAAATATATGTCTGATCTTTTGTCTTTTCATTATCTGGAATTCTTCGCAGGAATCCAAACAGAATATTAAGTCCAATAGGTCACAATCTAGTATGATGTAGTTAACGTGAATAAAAATGTCAATGTAAAATGACTCCAGAGAACTTCTGAGAATATTAATGTCTGATCTGTAATTTCGGTATCTGTATATATATAGTTGTCATGGAAACTTCTAGAACACTGTAGAAAGGAAACTCCTAGAAAACTGTAGAACAGAAACTTCTAGAACAATGTAAGAAGTTTAAATTACGCATCTTTTATTATGATCATTCTGGAATCGTTATGTAAGTCAAATAGAAAGTTCTAATCATTCCATCAGTCTCTATGATTGTTCCAGTGATTTCTAAACTGCACAGTTACAATATTATTTTGTAAACAACTATAAGGCCACACAAAACAAATTAGGCCAACTAAATAAACATGATAGTTACAATATCATAACAATATAGTAACTGTGAAATATATTTTAGATACAAAATTGTGCCACTTCACTCATCCTTGTCAAGTGAAGATCAACAACTGGTATTTACGTAAGTACATGTTTGTTTCTTTATTACTAGTTTGACCCCTGTTTTACTATTCAGGGCTAGAGGTTAAAGGTCAATGTCTTGATATAACAAAAACAAAATATTTACCAAATATTGCAATACTGTAGTAAGTAAATTTGATTATCTCAAAATTCTGGTCATCTCAAAATTAAATTTCTGTCCCAATTGATAGATATATTTGCATTATAATATTAGTAGTAACTCTTGATTTCCAAAAATTCCTGTTATCTAAAAATATTTTTGTCAGTCTGATCAACAAATTTATAAGTGTCATATGGTTATAGGTTGTATGTACAACAGACATATTAGCCTCATTTACATGTAAAAGATTTCTACCCAGTGACTAATGCAGACACCCTCATGTGAAGTTCTTATAAAAAGATATGCTGAACTGTAGCACAAGGTTTTAAAACATACTATTTTTATTTTTCTGTTTCAGAAAACCACCAGAAGGAGTAACTAAAATTGTCATAGCAACAAATATTGCAGAAACATCTATTACTATTGATGATATTGTTTTTGTAATTGATGTGGGAAAAATGAAGGAAAAAAGGTATAAAGTTGGATTCATCAAACTATTTTGCTGTTTTTCTAGAACTGTAAAATGCAATAGTCATGGTTCATTGACTTTGAATCTTTTGCATAGTTAACTTGTTGAAGTATTGCCATTTAAATTTCAACATTTGCATTTTATTGAAAAAAATTGCATGCAGTTGAGACATATCTCTGTGTCAAAAGTTTATTAGAATTTTCAATTGAATGTTCAAGTTATTTTTTTTGTTTTTTGTTGTTTAAATAAAATGAAACATTGCACTTGTTTAAGACTCAATAGAAAAAAATGACGCATAGTTTGAACTTTCATTTATTGATTATGGGTCAGTGTCAATAGCGATATTAACATTCCATTATTCATAAATTAAAACATTTCTCCCACTCTAATTAAATTTTTCACTCACACTTAAAAAAAGAAATTATTTATTTTGAAGGTTAATGACTTGAAATTTTGTTGATGATAAATTTCAGGTATGATCCTTCCAGGGGCATGGAAAGTCTGGATACAGCATGGGTATCTAAGGCAAATGCTATACAAAGGAAAGGCAGAGCTGGACGTGTGACTCATGGTGTTTGTTTTCATCTATTCACAAGTCATAGATATCACAATCACCTCATTGAACAACCAGTACCAGGTAAAAATACATTTAGGAATAACTGTCACAGTATTTTTTTGTATTTTTTTTGCTGACATTAATTGATGATTTAACTGTCAAAAATTGAACTTTCTATTGATTTGGTAGAATTTCTGGAAAGGACATATTTGCATCTGTAAAATGAAAGATTGACATTGTCAAGTTCTGGTATACATATTATTTAATTTTAAAATAAAAGCTAAATTTCTGAAGTACAGCTGCTTGCCCAGTAAAATAAATGCTCAGAGATAAGATCCTGTACATTATGGAGATAACTGTATTGTATTTTAAGTTCTGACACTTCAATTGGTGATTTGATGGTCGCAAATTAAGTTTACTGGCGACGCATTAGCAGAGCCAGTAAACAGGTATTTGCGACCATCAAATCACCAATTAATTCCGTTGGAGTCTAGATACATTATCTCCATTCTAATGAAACTGACAGAAAACAACGTCAAATCATACATTTAAAATCTGTCATATGTCGTCTGCACTTGTGCATACGTTTTCAATTGATGCCATGAAAATTGGTGACGTTATCAAATCAAAATGAACGTTACAAACGATGTTGCATTAGAATGTATCTTGTCCGTGTAAAAGATGTTTCAATTTCTGTTTTATCTTGTGCCTCTGACAAATATAAGATTTTTCTACATTGTATTTTTTGTTTTTTGTTACAGAGATACTTAGAGCACCTTTAGAACAGATTGTATTGAGGATTAAAATGCTGGATATTTTCAAAAAACAGTCAGCAAAGGTAAATATTTCTGTTTAATTTACAGCAGAATAATTTTTTGAGTGTTAAAATCTATATTGCAAGTGAATCTATATTATTATAAGATATTTAAAAAAAAGTTGTTTATATCGAAATTGTTTAGACAGAACTCAGAGAAGGAAATTTTATGGAATTAAGCTTCATCACTTGAGCAACTTGTAAAAAAAATATTTAAAAAAAAAATTAAATTTACTTATTATAGGAAGTTTTAGAACAGCTGCTAGAACCTCCAGAAGAAGATTCTATTCTTGCAGCAACAAAACGTTTGCAGGACCTTGGAGCCCTTGATGAAAAAAATGTAAGAAGTCTTTTAAGACTCTTAGTTATTAAAGTACAATTGCAAGCGTTTGTTGAATATAATTCCTAATAGGATTAAACTAAATAGTATGGCCCATTTTCCATGATGACAGTTATTTTAATCAAAGGTTATGTTTATAAGTGAAGATAAACAGATAATATAAAGACAATACACAAAACACTATGTAAAATAAAAAAAAATATTTGGATCTAGATGTCATTTTGTGGTGCAAAAATTAGCAGACACTTGTACCATACAATAAACGCTCTAGATTGCCCCAAGTTTTGTCAAGTAGGAAAACAAATTGACATTTGACAAAAATCCTAAAATATCTAAAACTTATTCCCCGTAGTACAAACAATAACAACAAAATAAGATGTCAATAAGGTTATGACTTGACAAAAACCTTTTACCATGTGGTTTGATTAAACGGATTTAAGAATTGTGTAACCTATAACCTAATATTAAAGGTATAAATCAAAAGAATCTTGAGTTGGAATATGGTACACATTATACTATATACACAAGTTGATAAAAGTTCAGCATTTATCATTTGTAAAATTGTACATATGTAAAATAACCTCAATGAAACAGAATATTACCATTTTTAAATATTTGTAGGAGTTGACACCATTGGGCTATCATCTAGGATCTTTACCAGTAGATGTAAGGTATGTTAGCCAGTTATAAATAAATAGTTCTTGATTGAAAGGTTGTATCAAAGTGAATGTTTGATAAAGATTTGGTATCAAAAGTTCATATCAGAGGCAGATTTAAGGGGGGCAAGGGGCCAATGCATAGACTTTTTACATGTCCCACTCCTAACATTGCCTAGTTTCTTTTTTTCAAAATCCTGGATCTGCATCTGCATATTAACATAAAGAACCATAGACCTCTGATTTTCTGTTTAAGTGATAAATTATTGGACCTAATGATCTATTTTTTACACATATTTGTTTTAGGACAAGGACATCTGATTTTTGGCGCATGCAATCTTGTACCTATGAGATAGGAATAATGAACTTAATAATCAGGGTTTAAATGTATTTTTTATTAACACTGAGTAAGAATAGGTAAACCATTCATGGAGGTTTTTGCGTTTTTATATTAAGAAATAATTCTTTCATGTCATGCTCTATGATCATTATGGTTGTTTATTATAGGATAGGAAAGTTGATGTTATTTGGTGCCATATTCAGATGTTTAGACCCTGCGCTAACCATTGCAGCATCACTCAGTTTCAAATCACCTTTTGTAAGTATACCTATCATGCAATATATGTCTGGCAAAACAATGATGTTTATCACTGTATTGATGATATAATGTTAAAATATGAACATCATGGATGGATATCCCATATCCTTTGTTTTTCTATTATTTGAAGGAATTTAATTTTAGAATTATTTTTTATGTCTGAAGCAGTTATCAATAGATGATTGAATTTATGGTAATCAAATTAAAATATGTGAAAATTGGATAATGAAATTTCAATTATGGAAGTTGTATTATGAAATTTCAATGTTCTTATGGTGGTAGCCTGCTACTATTACCAGAACAAATAGATATTTTTCATAGCAAACTGTATTGAGTGTGATGCCAAATTATTGAAATTATTGAAAATTACATAACCTTAGTTGATACCAAGCGATATTATCTTCTCACTCGTTACGAAACCTAAAACTATATAACATCACCTTGTATGATGTAATTTTTGTCTTGCCTTGACAGAGTAAAAAGGCGAGACATAGGTATGCTGTTTCCGGCGGTGGCTGCAGCGTCAACAATGTATTAGTTTGTGATTAGGTCTAGTTAATGGTGAACCACTAGTGGTAGGTCAATGATATTTGGTAAGCAGTTGTATTAGCATTGGTACATCTCATTTCAATGGAGATTATTTGGCCCTGCCCCCTCAGTCATGGTCTATTGACTTTGAAACTTTTGCTTAGTTTACATGTATTAGTTTGTGATTAGGTCAGTTTATGGGGAACCACTAATAGTAGGTCAATGATATTTGGTATGCAGTCGTATAAGCATTGGTATATCTCATTTCCATGGAGATTATTTGGCCATGCCCCCTCAGTCATGATCTATTGACTTTGAAAATTTTGCTTAGTTTACATGTATTAGTTTGGGATTAGGTCAGTTCAAGGGGAACCATTAGTGGTAGGCCAATGTTGATAGGTATGCAGTTGTATAAGCATAAGGACATCTCATTTCCATGGAGAATATTTGGCCCAGCCCCCTCAATCATGGTCTATTGACTTTGAAACTTTTGCTTAGTTTACAGGGTATTAGTTTGTGATTAGATCAGTTTATGATGAACCGCTAATGTTAAGTCAATGATATTTGGTATGCAATTGTATTGGCATTTGCCAGTCTCGTTTCCATGGAGATTATATAGCCCCACCCCCTCATCATGGTTCATTGACTTTGAAACTTTTACATAGTTTACAAGTTGATGTTTGTTTGTGTTTAGGTTTGTTTAAAAGGAACGACTTATGATAAGTCAATGGTATTTGGAATGCCCTTGTATTAGCATTGGCACATCTCATTTCCATGGAGATATTTTAGCCACATACCTTCAGTCATGGTTCATTGACTTTGAATATTTGCAAAACTTACATGTTAAAGTATTGCTATTTTAATTTCAACATTTGCATTATCAAAATTATAAAATGGCGAGACATATCTCTGTGTTAACAGTTTATTTGCTTCTTGTCTTCACTAGGGACCCTTTTTAAAAAAAAAAAATTGTACATTTTGGGGCCAGATATGATTTTTTTTTTCTTCAGTTTTTAGATAATTATCCATTGTTTCTTTTAATCTTTCTTGAAGAGTGTCTCCTTTTTCTTAATATTTTGATGTTTAATGAAATAGTGTCTCATCTTCCATCTAAAAATCCCATTGTTATAATATATCTACTCAAATTGAAAGTTATTAAAAAGGCAACATTAAAATGCATATCTATATTCTTCCTTTATATAACGTTGAAGGTTTCACCATTTGGAAAGAAATTTGAAGCAACCCAAAAGAAGCTGGAGTTTGCTACAGGAAATTCTGACCATTTGACCATGCTAAATGGCTATCAGGTAACGGGTTTAGCGGAAAAGCATTGTAAATTGAGCCATCAATTAAAGTAGACTTTGATATACAGCAGAACTGAGTCCAAATACCTAATAAAACATATGAAAGATATTTTAAAGATATTCTTGTCTAGGAAGTCCTAAATATTTGGATCTGTACACTTTGTTTAAAATCTGAACTCATAGGGTATTATCGCACTTTCATTTGTTTTTTTATTTGTTTTTTTTTTTCGAAGTTTGATTTTTCTTATATTACCCTACTTTGCTTCTTAATTTGTTCTCAGACACCCTGTTGAATCTTTTCACAACATTTCAAGTACAAAAATGGTTAACTAGTAGCAAAACCTACAACTTCGTGTAGTCTGCTCAAATAAAGATCCAGCTGAACATGCAAATGTACAACAGCATTGAATAGGCAGACATCCATGTTTGATGTCAGTTATAATTGATAAAAATAAGGAGATGTGGTATGGATGCCAATGAAACAACTATCCACCAGTTCAAATGAAATGGGTATATGCAACCGTACAGCCTTCCAACAATGAAAAAAAACCATACTGTATAGTCAGCTATAAAAGGTCCTGACATGAAAAATATGATACAATTCAATTGAGAAAACTAATGGCCTAATTCATAACAAAACAATTTACGAAAAAACAAATTTAACAGACATGAACCAACGACAGCCAGTGAACTACAGGCTCCTGACTTGGGACAGGCACATATAGAATGGTATGTCATTTCAAATAAACGTATGCAAAGAATATATGCATGTATAAAGCTTTTATATACAACCATACATATTTGTGTATACAAGAAGATGAAAATTTATAAAGGAATGTCCTTCAAAAACTACACCAATTTATACTACTGCATATTTAAATGCATCACACCAGATGCTAAATACTAATTAAACAAAAGGCACATTTCAATACATTTCACTTAGTCATTGCTTTCCTGAAGAATTTAATAGGATCGATTGATTGTTGGTTGCTTAACATCCAGTGGCAAATATTTCATGCATGTTCAGGACGAGAACAAATTTACAATAAATACAATGTGTAGGGCCTGTAACAGAGGCCGTCCAGGATGAAGGTCGGACACATTTGGACCGCCACAGGAAAATAAGGTACATTGAACAGGGACAGATATTCAGCCTTGCAACAGGCCACCTATGGACCACTCAAACAGTTGTTGCAAGGGTTCTTAACGTGCAAAGAGCTTGGCACTCTCCCCTACACCAGGCATCAGATTTAACGTCCCCATTCTGACCGGACGTGGCTGCCAACTTGTACATCCTGCACAGCCAAATGAACGCCCCACTCTAAAGAGGATTTTACTGCCAGTTCGAAGAAGACCTATGGTGACCATATTTCTATTCCCCAGTCACCCTTGGGGGAAAGAAGAATTTAATAGCAATCAAATCTTTGTGTATATGGGGATATTGCTCTGTGTTGAAGGCCATACCGTGAACTTTACTGGTTGCAAACCTCTGTCAACAAATGTGTTCTCTGGTGGAGATTTGTCTCATTGACAATCATAGTCATACAAATTCTTATTTTTAGAAGATTTTGTAAATTGTAAAGTTGGATTGATGTGTTATATTCAATTACCACAAACACTTTCTTGTCAAATTCCATGCTTTATAACTTTGTAATGATACAAGCAAATACCAAATGAAAGTTTCAAGGGAAAAAAACTTTTATTATAAAAGATAAAGAAAAGTAAAAAATATAATATATGTAGTATCATTGCGGTGCCATTTCAATGCATGTACCGTCATCTTTGGAATTATCTTTTATTTTCATGTATGTTATATTGTCATCAAATCTTTCAATTCGGAGGCGTTGGTGCTTTATGGTCTTGCACGAAGCACTTCAAACATATTGGTAAAAGAATTGTCAAAATCACATTCCACTGCTGTGTTTGGTAGTAAGGTTGTTGCCTGCGTTACTACTGTAACTACAAATATTGCACTTATATCTTATGTTTAGAATATACATCATATTATATTTGTCCATAATAAATAATGTTGTGAATGTTAGATCTATATCGTTTTTTTATGTCAATTTCGGTGTCTGTATGGCGTTACTTTCAAACACACATCTGATTAAAAATTTTGGTTACATAAATTTGGAGACGGATGCGGGTTTTTAAAAAAAAGTACTTTTTTCTCATCGACTTTTCACAACACCAGGGGATCCGACGAACGAGGTATTAATTTGGCGTGGCCTTACAACAGAATGCTTCAACACCGACTTCACAAAAAAAACCTATAATCAAACAAAATATTATGTACATTGATGCATAGTCTTAACAATTTCTTGTATAATAAATATGTTCAAAAATGCTTTACTGGAGGTTGTGTGATGTTGACTTCTGTTAATATGTGTCTTTTAGGGTTTTATTTAATTTGATAATGTATCATGTTGTAGGGCTGGCTTAGTGCAAAGAAACAAGGTGGCAGAGAAGCTTACTTATTTTGTCAAGAAAATTTCCTTTCACAGAAATCTTTACAGGTATTTAATAATGAATGCATTTTTTTATTGATATAAATATAATGTGATGTGAAATGTATGTTTTTATTGTTGTATAAAGTATAAATGTGATTGTCATCTTGGTGGCTCTATGCTGAGGATATCATTAAGTTTAAATTTAAATGTCTCAGAGATATAATGCATTTTTTTTTTTTTTATTTTTCTCTATCAATTTTTTCAAGAATACACTTTTTTGAAAGAACAGTAAATACCAGTAGTTTTATAACTTCATTTGTGAAATTTTACAAGATTTTCAGGTACCCCGTACTTATGTCTCAAGATGATATTATTATTGTTTTTTTTGACTTTTTTTGAGGTGGAATAGAGTAAGGAATTATCTGTACAGATATGATCAAGTCTAACATATTTCTTTTATCAGATGTTGGTTAGCTTGAAACAACAATTTGTAGAACTGTTATCAGATATTGGATTTGTAAGAGAAGGAATAACATTCAGAGATGTAGAACGAGCTGCTAGATATGGTTCTGATGGTGTTATAGAACTTACAGGGGAAGAGGTATGACATAGATAAGACTTCATTTCTTGAACTTTTATTAGCTAATAAATCTTTTGCAGGTATTCAATACATTAATTGTATATAATAAAAAGGAGATCTGGGGTATATATGAATAAGACAACTACCCAATGACATAAAAAAATGAAAGACCTCTAGTGGTCAACATACAATCTTCAACAGTAGACAGGTGATGCTTGCTTCTAATCTTCAAAACTTGTAAACAAATTTAACAAAGACTTTCAAAGATCTATCATCAACACTCAATACTCAATTCTCCAGATGACAACAAAAACAAGATAAAACCACTGAAGAGGCTCCTGTCTTTGGACAGATTCATAGGCATGTGGCTAGGTTAAACGTTTGACATCTTAATTTGATTAAATACAATAAAACAGCGACTTCAAAAAAAATTCTAATCGAAAGATGAAAATTACTGACCTATTGAGTTTTTTCCTTGGTGAAATTGCAATCCATTGATATATTTGGAGTATCAAAAAAAGGACCCATTCCAGCGGCACGTTTGTGTATACCTTCATATAGGAGGAGACACCCGCCTTGTGCTATGTTATCGAGATCTCAACCCTACCCCCTTCAATAAAATGAACACATCTATCTGTTTGGAATTGTTTAAAGAATTGTTACTGGTAGTCTTTTACCACTGATAAATTATAAAATTCTAGTGTAAATGATATCCAAAAAATGTAAGCTGTATTCTCTTTTTAACATTTAACGATAGTTTACAGAATTACAATGACTGTTTTATTACCCTCTATTCGGATTAGAAAAGTTTCTACTTTCTTTTTCTTAACATTTAAACCAGAAGTAGTGTACAATTCTGTAATTGAACATGGGAATGGATTTAAATTTTTTTTTCATCACAACAGAAAATATATGACACTGGAGGCCAACTGGTGCAATACAGAGGTCAGTCATAGCAAAGATCCACTACATGAAATTGGTATATTGAAAGAATATATCTCTGACATTATAATTACAGTAATGTCTGTAACACTAACCATTGTCTATATATATCAACAGGCTAACATCAACTTAAAGAACCTGAAGCTAATTTCAGCTATCCTGGTAGGAGCTCTTTACCCCAATGTTGTACAAGTCATGACACCTCAGTCCAAATTTAATCAGAGTAGTGCAGGTAAATAGTAACATATCATTTTAAAGTGTTTCAAAAGAATATGAAGATTTCAATAGATCTACAGTCAAACCTGATATTAAGCCAAAAACCTGTCTTGTGATGGTTCATTCTTCTTGTTCTGTTGTAGTAAAACCTATACATTTTGAATCCAATTCAAAGTTCACCTCTCTTTGAGGTCAGTTTTCTCTTGCCAGTTGGGTGATCTTTGTATACATGATTGACTGTAATTCAGTGTTGGCAAAAACCCGGGTTTTATGAGTATTGCCCAGCCCAGTGGGAAATACTGGGAAAACCTGGGTTTTACTGGGTTTTACCGGGTAATACCGGGCAATACTGGGTAATATGAAATACTGGCATGAATTGTAAATAGGATTAATCACAAATGCAATACATTAACTTAAAGTCGAAGAATTTTATTTGTTTTTTTTAACAAATATAACTAATATTAAGCTGAATTAACAATTATATGTAAGGAAAATTACTTTTTAACATTTTTTGGTCATTACTAAAAATGTTTACTAAGTTTTAGCAAATTTTTATGTACATCACTAATTAATAAATAATTATTCAGATTATAACACAGATTTGTTTACATAACAATAATCCGACTTTTGTGTGCATAAAAAAAATTCTATGAGATAGAATTTTGAAATAAATTGTGAGAAGATAGGTTTTACTATATGTTTTAAGAAAATAAAAATAAAAAATGGTGTCACCGAATTTGTTTTCTTGCTACAAGTAAAAATAAAAAATTTCCCTATAAGTCCAGTATAATTTTTTTACTAAAAGAGTTATCTCCCCTTAAATGTTTCATTTGAAAAAAATGATTGTAAAAACAAACAAAAATTATATTTGTTTAAATATTTTGAATAATACAATAAATCACCAAGTTTTCTTTATATAGATAAACAGTCTAACCATTAAATTGCAAATCTGTCTCCAAATTTGCAGATTTGGACAAATAACTAGACCGATTTTGTACTGTGATTGTACAATCCAAGATGGCGGTATACCATGAATCTACCTTAAACACTGCAATAAAATGCATTTTTTCAAAGTTTCAAATTGGATTATTGAAACAAAGCTTGGAAATTAACAAGGTGAAATGTGCACAACTTGTATTCTGCCTACATAGAATTAGTTGAGAAAAGGAAGAAATTGAATTTTCAATCTTCAGGAATGACTCTCAATGGTTATCTGTATAAAATGTATATATTTAGCTATAATACTATTAAACTAGAACAAGTCTTTACTATTTTGTGTAAAAATAAGCTTGACAAATCATATTGCCCAGTATTGCCCAGTATTCAAATGAGATATTTTATCATAACATTCAAAAAGGTTTGATTGTAGACAAGTTGTGATTGGCTGAGTTATCCAAAGATCTAATGTCAGAACAAATTTGATATGCATGAAAAAAGACAAAGAGACAATAACAATCTTTGAGGAGAGTAGAAAAACCACAGTAAAAATTGATAATATTCCTGACTGAAGGTAGTCACAACAAAACATAGTGGTGTCCTAATGATTTGTGATTCTAATGCAATGTGACATATAATGCAAGTTTTGATTGGATGATGTCCGCCATAAATTCCACAGTTGGTGATCAGAGTCATTGGAAACATGTTGCATTATAAGATGTATGTTGTAACTAACATAAATAAGTAAATCAGAATATTTTCATTAAAGGTGCTGTTTCAAAATTTCCGAAGCCAGAGGAGCTGAGATTCAAGACTAAGTCTGATGGCTTTGTAAGTATTTGATTAAAGCTATAATAATCATTTTTCCATAATTTTCTTGAATTGATGGTCTAACACCTGTTTCCTTGCAGTTTTAAAGCAAGCATTTGCCTCAAGCCCAAGGTTGTTAATTTCTATAATTTCTATAAATACATTTGTGTAGGAAAATTTATAGCTTTTTATTACATATTTTTCGGACAGATTTTTTTCTCTCTATAAATCATAATCTTTGTTTAAAAAAAAATCATTAAGTATAATATAGTAAAGACTTAGTTTTTTTTTATAGTTTAAAACATAATAAAATGTTGTTGCATTGTGAATATTAATGAACTGTTTTTTCTGTATGATTTTCTAAGGCAATATATTATTGTACTATTCCAGATACATATTCATCCTTCATCAGTCAACTTTCAAGTGAGATACTATGAGAGTCCTTACTTAGTATATCATGAAATGGTCAAGACATCAAAGGTGTGTTGCTGTTCAATTTAGTTAGACATTCCTAACAAATTGTTTTTAAGAAATAAGGAAACTACATTGAATTTACTTTATTTTTTTCAAGATTTTATAACTCAGATTAGTCCTATTTGTGATTTATGTTTTATTACTATTTATTTGATTTTAAATTTTGCTTTCTCATCATTAATTTCAGATCAGATCTTCGTCTGCAAGATTTCATTTGTTTATCTGTTTATAATTTTATCATACCCCACCCAACAAAATATGTTTTTGACTCGTCTGTGAGTCCTTCCATTGTTACTATGTTATTGCCAGTAAAGCTCCTTCCTTTTTCATCAGATCTTCTTCAAATATGGATGGAGGCTACCACTCATCAAAATTAAGATGAGTTTGATAATCAGAAAATCTGAATTGGATGTATGTTTTGGATATACCTTCATGGGGAATGCTCACATCCAAAAATTTGAAAGCCATGGATGTATAAATACTTGACAAACTATATAATCAGCTTCCTTCTTTTTCCTCAGAAATTAATAAATTTAAATATAATTTTATGTATAAACAGAAAACTTCATTCATTATTACTTGTGATATTAGGTATTCATTAGAGACAGTACTATGGTAAATGTGTATCCACTGTTGTTATTTGGAGGAGGATTATCAGTAGATTTAGACAGAGGAAACTTTGTACTATCTGTAGATGATGGATGGATTAGATTTATTGCCAACTCACATCAGGTATCACTCATTTGTAACTTTTTATCTGTTTTAACCTGAACAGTAATGAAAATGCTTGACATATTGGCAGTAATTTATATTTTGCAGTATTTTCTACTGGAAAAAGTTTGGTAAATATGTGGCTCCACCAAAATTAATTGGTTTACAGTACTTAATACACTTTTCCATTCTCGATGAATTTTGAACATATATAATGATCTCAAAACTTCAAAACTAAAATATTCTGTAGTTGTACTACATTTTTGTACTGATATTTTCAGATTGCAGAACTTGTGAGAGAATTACGGACAGAGTTAGATCAGTTATTAACAGACAAGATTAAGAATCCACACATGGATTTGTGTACCTGTCCAAAAGGAAGTAAAATAATAGATACAATTGTAACTCTTATTACAACTCAGTGATACAATGTGCCTTACAGTCCTCAGGAATAGGATCCAAAAGAATTGACAAACTTATAAAACACTTTATGAATAATGCACATTGACCTGTACGGTTGTGGTAATGAATTCAGATTACAGGTGCTTAATTATGTGAATATCATATTATTATTGATGCATAAACTATTTTTCATCTAGATGTTAATAAACCAGTTAAAACAACATAGTTACAAAAGAAAGACCATAGACTAGCTAATTGATAATGCTTCAGTGTGTATAATTTGTTGACAAGTTTTTAGTCTGGGAATCTTACAAATATGGATGATTAAAAATGGCAGACATTATTTAACAGTTCAGTGTTCAATTGAAAGTACAGAAAAAAAATGGTGCAATAGTTGTATATTTACTAGTCATAAACACCAGTTTTATTTTTGTTTTTGTGTATTGAAAGGACCATTGCTCATAGGGTGCCAATTTTTGTGATTCCATCCAACCACATAATTTAGTACAAAACAAAATACCTTCTTTTCATTAAGTTGGGATATGTTAATCCTAAAACCATAACTCAAAAACCATATGAACCAAATATAATTTCACAAACCATGAAAATGAATACACAGAAAGAAAAATATTTCCACAATTTGACATAGACTTTTGAAATTTTAGTAGATGGTTTTAGGTGACTTGTTTTTAGTAGTATAAATGTCTGAGTTGTTTTTGATTCAATTTTAGAAAGGGTTTTTCTTGAATATTGTTAAGGTACTTAAATATTATGAATATTCATTGGCATTTATTAATATAATTTATCAATCACAACCATTTGAAGGAGAGCTACATAAGTCAACTAATGTTATATTTTCAAAATTAATATTTTTTACCAATAAAAAGGTTTTGTCTGATTGCATATAAGTGCTTTTAAATATTTTTGTGTATATTAAGGAAGAAATGCATATTGAGTAAGATGTATATTTTTCTACATTTGGAAATGTGAAATTTACCGTCTTTGACTTTACTAAATTTGAAAAGTATAGGCGAATATTGATTTTTTTGCCATCATTATGAATAGGAAGCAGCAGGTATTGGTTGTTTACACGTCAGGGTATACATTACTTTTTCACTTTATTATGCCATAATTAGACATGTTTGTAACATATTTCAATTACAAAAGAAAATCACCTGATTGATCTGAAGAAATCAGAAATAATTTCAGTTAATTTTTGTAAATTGCTTGAATATTTTGATGTTTGACACCAAGAGTCACTGTAATAAAGAATTACTTTACTGAATAGTAAAAAATTATCAAATGTCTTCCATGAATGATATATCTATGTATAAATGAAATATCCTATTTTACTGCTTTGTTATAATAAGATATTTAGTTTATGGTTATTTTGTTATTATGTTTTTATGTAGTTGTGAAAAAGAATTGTGAGGGGATATATTTTTGCTGGTTTATTTATTGTTGCTTCATCTTAAATGTCACAAATAAGGGGATTTGTTTTAAAAGCTTTCTCCAAAAATCTCAGGGGAACATGTTGATACTGCTTTTCCTTTTAAAGATTTGAGATATACACAGAAGAGACAGTAACCCAACAACACAATAAACTACAAGAAAAAGACATGTACATATGAACACATAAGTCAAACCATACATAGAGGTCAAAACTGCCCTGAGTGTAGGTCTATTTAGATATAGGAAGATGTGGTATGAGTGCCAATGAGACAACTCTCCATCCAAGTTACAATTTATAAAAGTAAACCATTATAGGTTAAGGTACGGCCTTCAACACGGAGCATTGGCTCACACCGAACAGCAAGCTATAGAGGACCCCAAAAAATTACTAGTGTAAAACCATTCAAACGGAAAAACCAAGGGTCTAATCTATATAAAAACGAGAAACGAGAAACACGTATGAACTACATAAACAGACGACAACTACTGTAATCAGATTCCTGACTTAGGACAGGTGCAAACATTTGCAGCGGGATTAAACGTTTTAATGGTACCAAACCTTCTCCCTTTTCTGAAACAGTAGTATAACATCACAACATAGAAAAACACACTATAAAATATCAATTGGAAGGCTTAACTCAATCAAAAAACGTAAATTAACACACAATGAACGAATAAATTTGACCTGTGACACCTGAATGCAAATGCTGTTAACATCAATTTATTTCTGATGGTACCTTTAATTTGCCACAACGTAATCTAACTGTCAACAACAATTTATTTTTGATGGTAGCTTTAATTTGCCATGACATAGATCTTTTTCTATGACCCAAAACAACTTAGGAGCATTAAAAACAAGTCAATTTTGACTTTATCTTGGGTTGAGGTTTACCTTCAGTATTTTGAGTTACAGAGACTCATTTGACCAACAATCTTCTCGTAAGTCATGAACATTTCAGTATAACTTACGATCAATTTTTATCGTAAGATTTTTTGTGAGAAGAGCCCCTGTAATTTACCTAGAAAAAAAGGAAATCAGTAGAGTTGATTGTTTCAAATGATTACCTTTTAATTTTATTTTAGCAAAAAGCTAACTATAATTTCATAATGTTTGCCTTAAACTGTTCAGGAGTTGCGAACCTTGCAAAAGTAAAAATTATAAAACTGGACTGTTCCAAGATAACAACTTAAGTTAAATAGCTTTTAGCAAAATCTTTTATAGCCTGTTTGATCATTCTGAAAATAATTACAAATCATAATTTTTTTTTTTTTATAAATTGCCATATGTACAAAAACTATTTCTTATTAGTAGTAATACATATTAGGACTGATTTTTACCAATCCAACCAGTATTAAAGATTAAAGTTGTACACCATACTCAATAACATGTGCATTGTTTTTGTATAAAAAGATGTGTTTATATAAAAGCCCAATTGAGGTAAAATCACAAAAGCCTAGTATGGTAAAGATACATTTTGATTACAATGAACAGGTTAACAGGTATGGCTATTTGTATGATATGTTTATTTTTTGATAGCAAAAAGAGTATAATTATGTTTATGTCTTATTGATTACTTTTTTACTCTTTATATCTTTGATATCATGCATGAAGAAGATGATGGGTATACATAAGTGAGACAGCAACTGAGCAATACAAAAAAACAAAAGAGATCTTATGGTCAACACATAGTCTGCCCCAATATATTATCTTCTACATTGCCCCAGGTCTAGAAAAGTTGTGTATTAAGTGTTAAGCAAAATTCAATCAATATAATTTCAGCAGAGACAATCAAAGATCTCACATCAACCCTTAAGACAAACACTTTTAAGATAGTACAAAAAAGACAATCACAGATAAGTCTTCATAAGATAATTGATCAAATAAACACCTGATTTAAGAAATAACTGTATTGTATTTGAAGCTTTGCGGACGTCCATTGGTAGTTTTACTGTCGCAAATTAAGTTTACCTGGCGACACGAATCGGAGACAGGTAAACGGATATTTGCGAACGTAAAACTAACGAAGGATGTCCGCAAAGCTTCAAATACAATACAGTTATTCCTATTCTAATGCAAAATTAATACACAATTCAATTTTAGTCATTATTTCAGTGTAAACTTTTCATTAAACGAAAATTCTGCGAAATGATGTTATCTTCTTTGGCCCCTAAACTAGGTGACGTCATAGGATTTGCTTCCAGCATCAAACATAAACACAGGGCATTTTCTTGCTTCTTGGATACCTCAGAAAATAATAAAATTTTGTAAAAAGAAGATTTCTAGGTGCAAAATGTGAGTTTTTTTGCTTTATATTATTGGAAAAATTACATGTCCTTACATTCCGGAATTCAAAATGTCAGCTTCCTTAGTTACAGACAGGGAGATAGACAAATTTTACGCTTACTGTCATAAAATCAGAATCATTGATACAAAATAATTGCATTAGAATTTTTAGATATTTATTTCCTGCTTTCTAAGTCATAAAATGGACTATACATTATAGAAGATATAACATCAATAAAACGTAGATCTTGGACATGAAACATAGTAAATTACATAGAACTTATGGTAAATCTAATTATTACTCTATGAAACTAGGGACTGGGTATCATTTATAAACATAACAACTGTCACTATTCTGGAGTTTATGTCCTTCGAAAATTCTGAAAGAATAGATGACATTGAATTAGATAAACCAAGCTGAAATTTCTTAAATTTTGTATACATTATGTATAAGAAATTTAGTTTTGACATAAGGTGGTTTCTCAGAATAATTACAATAAACTTTGACATAAACTGTGCTACTGAGCAGTACAATATATTACAAGGAAAATTGATATTGCAGAAAGAGTTGCCAAATATTAAATTTCTATACAACTAGTAATGTCATTTTAAGACTGTGATATGTAAAAAAAAAACTTTTATTTATAATGCTATAGTTGACAAATAAAAATAGAAATATGTGTTTTTTATTTGATTATTTGGAAAACATTATTAGTGATGTAAAAGATAAAAAGTTAATAATGAGAGGTCCTAATCAAAATTCCTCCTTATGCATTATTGGACTGATAGCTGACTTGGACACATGTTCTTCTCTAAAAGTGAAAGGACTATGTTCATATTGCAAGGAAATGATGTATGGAAGCTAGGTCTTTTGCTTTGTTTCTTACAAAAAGTCTTCAAATGCTGTAGTTTATTAACAATATTCATTTCTGATTTGCTAAATTTATGGCATAAACTATACATTTGTTAACCAGTACTGAATTTTCATATCAAACGGATCATTTTTTTTTTTTAAATAGAGATATAACGGACTTAAAAATATATTTATACAAGAAAATCAATATAATTTTTTTTATTTATAAAAGACCAACAGCTAGAATTAGGCTTATAACAACAACAAAAAAAAAACCAGGTAGACAGCCAACAACAACCATTGAAATACAGGCTCACTCTGCCCTAATCTGGAACAGGGGTATGACAGCACAATAAAACAAACTGTAAAGACCTAACTCATCATGTCAGCACTAATTATAAAAAAAAAGCCACAATGTACTGCTCTGAGAGTACTATCAGTAACTCAAAATTAATTCAAAGCAATTCCATAAAATGAATAAGTCATGTTTCCCAGACTTAAATTTCAATTGATACACATCAAAGGGATTTGGTGTAAAGACTTCATAAACAGTACAAAAATAGCATAGCTTTTGTGCAATGCCAAAATATAAGTATCACCAAGATGTTTTCATAACTGTTAAGCCATAGATATTTAGTTACGTTTTAATGTAGTAAAAACTAAATCTATGTTAGTACCAGGCATTGGGTAATTGTAATCAGTAATCAGCTGTAATCTATTACATATTTTGCAATGTAATCACATGTAATCAGTAATCATGCATTTTCTTATTACAAGTAACTGCAATTCATCCATTTACAATGCAAAAACAGGTGTTATCAAGATTACCTTTTGAATACTTTTAGTTTACAATCATTATGATTACTTGCTGATTACAAATTTGTATACATAAATCGTTGTTGATATACATTGTACAAGCATGAATAAAAAAGTTCATCAAACCACTGTTCATAGTGATTGGTCATGGTTCAATTTGATGTTTCTCTTTACAATTTTAAAAATTTCAGTATAACCATGTTAATTTAAAGGGAATATAGAGTGAACAAGTGTGAATTATTTTAAAAAATTCACTAAATGAATTTACCTTTCCAAATGTCTCATTTTGAGATTGAGTATGTCTTGTGATAAAAGATGTTTGCTTTGAAAACATTTTGTGTTCCCTGGTGGAACATTTTTGATATTTATACCATAGATTAGGGTATAATGTTTTTGACTCATCCGTCTGTCTACCGTCAGTCAGTACGTCCGTCAGTCCTGTTCTTGTCATCGCAACTCCTCTGAAACCACACAACTTTGTAGATAATAAGGACATACTATGTAGATGTGCATATCGACAGGAAATTATGATTCAACTTTTTTTTCTAGGAGTAACGACTCGTTGAAATTAGATTTTTGGCCCAAATATACTACTGCAACAGTTTGTCTTTGCAACTCCTCTGAATCCACACAACGGAATTTGATAAAACTTTGTAGCTAATTAGGAAACACTATATAGGTGTGCACATCGACAGGAAATTATGACGTAATTTTTCTACAGGGAATTATGCCCCTTTGAACTTAGAATTTTGGCCTAAATATACTACTGCAACAGTTTGTCATCACAACTCCTCTGAAACTACACAACAGAATTTCATGAAACTTTGTAGATAGTAAGGACATACTATGTAGATGTGCATATCAACAGGAAATTATGATTCAATTTTTTACTAGGAGTTAAGCTACTTTGAACTTAGAATTTGGATTTTTGGCCTAAATATTCTACTGCAACAGTTTGTCATCGCAACTCCTCTGAAACCACACTACAGAATTTTATGAAACTTTGTAGATAATAAGGACATAATATGTAGATGTGCATATCCACAAGAAATTGTTATCAGATGACATTTGTAGGAGTTATAAGTCTTTGAACTTGGGAATCTGGCGAGATTTTATTTCCCAAAAGACAATGTGGAGGTGTGGGGTATGTGAGCATGCTCACGAATGTTCTTTAATACCTCCAATTCTAGTCCATATACCGGTAATTTTATCAATCTGAATTATGTAAAGAAAGAACAAGTTCACTTTTAATATTATATTTTATATAATCTAGCAAACTTGAACTCTGCTATTGAATATCTGATTAATTTGAATACAAACTTCTGCAAAATCTTTACTATTCTTTATGAATATTTCTTCAGTTATAAAATGATTTATTAATCTTGATTGATAGATTTTTCCTTAGAAATTTAAATTCCAGCACATTGTCTCCCTTCCATAAATGCAAAATTAGATCATGTCTTGTCCGGTTTTGCTTCCAAATTTATACTACTTTCACTTTCAATTTTGACCACGTTTCAGACAAACCAAGATCTGTAAAATTGGCGATGGACATCAGTAAGCCAGTAGAGAAGTTCAAGAAATTTCTGTCAGGTTTAAGCGACAATGATGAACTTAAGTTTCTTGGATGGTTAAAGAATAATATAGATGGTTGGTATTTCGACTAAAATCCACATGTACACGTTATTATGTAAGATCATGTAATGTTGGGGTTTTTTTAATGACAGAAACAAGCACCTATGATTAGGTACTTAACCTCGACGTGTTAATTAAACATATATATGTTTTCCCTATGTCATAAATTTTAGATGCAGCTAACATGTCAGTGACACTTTAAAAACAGTGCCAAAATTCTATATTAAACAGTTAAAACTACAAGGTGCATTATTGGTAAAATATTTGGTGTGTAATTTTTCATTAAGACAAGTTTGCTTGTATGTAACATGAAAACAATAAACTCAACTCTACATTATAGAAATAAACTGCATGGTCAAACAGGTTATTCAGTTACCCATTTGCTACTTGTTCCCTGATTTTATTGATTATTTAAATTGCCAATTAGCAACACAATGGGTGCCACCAGTGGAACAGGAACTACTTACTTTTTCCGAAGCACATTTATTTAGTTTATTCTGGATTTTCATTTGAGCATTCGTGTGATAGACTTTGAAACTCAAATCAGAGATGGGGAAATTTTGGTCAGGAGTATTGACCTCAGATCAGGAGGGGTTTTATCAGCATTTTTTTGGTCATAAATATAACATCTGATGTGTCTTTTTTGTGCGTTGTTTCTTCAATCTTCCATCTGAATGACATAACAATGTGTTTACCCTTGAAGCCTGTCTATTTAAATGATATCAGTTGAAAGAATAATTGAGAAGAATCTGTTTTTGGTTTGGTTTCATTGTTGATTGTTGAATGCTCATTAATAAAGCACTATGATTTAACCTTTCCTTTGAGTAAAAAAAGAATATTAGAGCATAGCGTTTTAGTCATGCCTCCATCTTTTTATGCCCCCGCCGTAGCGGAGGGGGCATTAAGTTTTACCCATGTCCGTCTGTACGTACGTATGTACGTCCCAAAATTGGTTTCCGTTCTCTAACTTTAGTTTGCCTCAACCAAATGGTATGAAACTTATACACAATGCTTATTACCAGAAAACACAGATCAAGTGTGAATTTTGGTGGCGTCACTTTTACTGTTCTAGAGTTATGCCCCTTTACAAATGGAAAATTGCTGAATTTATTGTTTCCGTTCTCTAACTTTAGTTTGCCTCAACCAAATGTTATGACACTTATACACAATGCTTATTACTACATAATACAGATTAAGTACGATTTGATGGCAACACTTTTACCATTCTTGAGCTATGTCCCTTTATAAACATAAAAATTGCTGAATTTTATGTTCCGTTCTCTAACTTTAGTTTGTCTCAACCAAATGTTATAAAACTTATACACTACCGTTCTAGAGTAATGCGTGTTTACAAATAGAAAAATTGCTGAAATTTTAGTTTCTGTTCTCTACTTTAGTTAGCCTCAACCAAATGTTATGAGACTTACACACAATGCTTATTACCACAAAACTCAGATCAAGTTCAAATTTGGGTAGCTTCACTTTTACCGTTCTTCAGTTATGTCCCTTTATAACTGTATGATATGCAAGCGGGGGCATCATCTGTGTCCACATGCGGACACTATCCACATTTATTTTATTTGACTTCATTGTCATTGGTGTTGAGATATAAGAAAGAAGTATACTTTAAAATTTATAACATTATAAATAGATGCAAAATCAACAATCAATTACAACAGGTTCTACATTTATACATTACCTAACTCACTGTCTATATTCCAATGTTAATTAATAATAAAAGCACTGTCTCAAAACTTTAGCAACTTTGCTAAAAATTAATATACATGGAAGAATATTTGATTGTCATGATTGTACTAGTTCAGATTTATGTTTTTTGTCATAATTTGAAATCCAAAATTGCTTTCAAGTTTCAAATAGGATTTATGCTAGATTATAAATATACATACTGAATGCAGAAATTATATGAATTAAAGATGTTGGATATACAAAAATAAAATAGAAACCCTAGATACTTGCTTTACTTGTGCCTAAGGTGCTCCATTTCCTTTGATTAGAAATTAGACTGCAAAACAAACATTTTTGTTATGAAATTATAGATTTAGTAGATAAAGCTAGGGATACAAGCTGCAATGAAAACGAGGTTATACTAGACTGCCTAAGAGATGACATACGACAGAGTTTACCACAGAATGCAGTGTCTCCAACTGAAAACATACAGACACCAACTATTGGTAATGTAAGTAAACTGTACTTTATATAACCACAGGGTTTTATAAAGCTTCTTAAATTTTACCTGTTCACTGAAAAAGAGATGGTTCAACAGTAAATAGGGTACTATGAAAATTTTTAACTAGATTTAGTTACACTTAGGAATCAAGCTTTCCTTAATTCAAAATTTTAGAAAAAGATGGACAC